CCCGAGTCTTTATGGTAAAATCAAACGATTGAAATTTTGTTAAAAACAACAAAGGACACCAGGTGGTGGTGGTAGCAGGTGGGAAGTAGAGGCAGGCAGATCTCTGTGAGTTCGAGACCAGCCTGGTCTACAGAGAGTTCCGGTACAGTCAGGATAGGTACACAGAGAAACCTTGTCTCAAAAAACAAACAAAAAGGACAATCTTGGTACCACTAGGATCAAAAGGAAGAGTAAGTCCAGCACTTGGGAGGCTCAGGGAGCAAGATCTTAATTTTGAAGCCAGCCTGGCTAATACAGCAAGACCTTCTTTATTTCTTTTCTTTTCTTTCTTTCTTCCTTTTTTTAAAAAAATTTTATTTATTTTATGTATATGAGCATTGTGTGTGTGTGTGTGTGTGTGTGTGTGTGTGTGTGTGTGTGTGTGTAACACATGCATGCTTGATGCCCTTGGAGGACACAAAAGGGCATCAGATTCCCTGGAACTAGAGTTACAGATGGTTGTGAGCTGCCATGTGGGTGCTGGAAACTAAACTCAGGTCCTCTCCACGACCAGCAAGTGCCCTTAACCACCAAACCATATCTCCAGCACAAGACCCTGTTTCAAAACACAAAAAACAGCCGGGCAGTGGTGTGGTGCAAGCCTTTGATCCCAGCACTCGGGAGGCAGAGGCAGGTGGATCTCTGTGAGTTCAAGACCAGCCTGGTCTACAAGAGCAAGTTCCAGGACAGCCTCCAAAGCCACAGAGAAACCTTAGCTCGAAAAACAAAACAAAAAAATCAGCAAAACTTTGTGATGACTTGAGACAGCAGCTCTGAGCACTCACCATTAAATGGAGGGGGCTTCCAGTGGGCTGTCTCCTTGGAGGGGTACATGATAGCTCCTCCGAATTGCTGTGCCCATTCTATGTCTGGCTGCCATTGCCGGGCACCTCTAAGGAATTAAAGAGAGAGCTATACAAACAGCATAAAGAGTGTGCTTGCTTCCCCTGCTCCCATCCACTTTTTCTTTTTTATTTTAATCACAACATTTCTCCCTTCCCTGTTCTCCCTCCAAACCCTCCCCACTCTCCTTCAGATCCACGGACTTTTTTCACTAATTGTTATTGCATGCGTACATGTATTTGCATATGCATATATATTCCTAAATATCCTACACACCCTGTACTCCTCAATGCCACAGTGCAGTTTTGGACATACAAAGCTGGGATCCAAGCTCCTGCATGAATACTTGAGAACAGCAAGTATTTGTTCATGGTAAGATTACTGAGAGAGGGAGGAGAGACAGAAAGAGCAAACACACATACGCGGGCCAAAGAGGGAGAGCGAGGAACCGGGGGAAGAGGGATCTCCCTTCTTCGGATATGAGGGGAGGTACGCTCAAACCATTCATTTGAAGGGTAGTGTCTTTCACCTCACCTATTTCGCCTCTGACAAGGCAAATTCATCCCCCTCTCTCCCATCCTCCGCTACAGGAAGGACACTGCATCTAGGGACCTGAGAAATCTGGCCTGCGCAAGGAGGGTCACAGGCCTGGGTCACTCTTTCCTAAGGGATCACAGGGCCCTTGAAATGTCCTCAGGCTCGAGAAATCCTACTTTTGAGGAGAACGCATGCAGGAGTGGCTTCCTCCTCACCTGCTGGGCTGATTCGGCAGTCGGATCCCAGACCCGGGCCGCAGCACCTGGGTCCCGACGCCGCGGAGGCAGCACACAGCCCTCAGCGCCGCCATCTTTCCCGGGCTGCAGGCCGTAAGAAGGAGAACCGGGCGGAAGTGAATCCCGTGCGCCTCCTTGTGGGCTTCTCTTATATTGGCACAATGAGGCCACCATCTTGGAAGCTGGCAAGGCGATCAATTGTGAACGCGACAACATCCGGATTCCGCGTCTCCGCCTCACTTAGGCTTAAATAACTACCACTGCAGTCATCTTTAGTAAGGGCGTCCCTCCCATGGCTTTTCTAGGCGTTAGAGAAATTAACTGCTCTCTCCTGAGGCAACTCGGCTGTGAATCCCACCCCTCGCGCTGAGTCTTCTCCCTGCACTCGAATTTACCTTACAAACTGCCCTCCCACTGGGATCCCGTTGCACACACTCTGCATGCGTGTACCTTCACTATTGCTTTCCATCTTGGTCATCCTCCTGCGGTAGTCCTTCTTGCTTTCCGACTGAAGGCTCAAGTTTCGATAACGTTGTTTTCTTTACGGAACCTAAGAGTTAATTTCCAAATGTCCGAAATTGGGATTGTGGAAAGGACCTCAAGTGCAGTTGGGCAAATCTGAGAGCTCACCAAAACAAAAAGGAATAGAAGACCAAGACCACCAACACTGGTAGAGTCTGTGCAAGAGTATGGAGCCAGCTTTTTACAAATGGAGATCCTCTGTCAGTGCCCGTTATAGAATCACAGACTCAGGAAGCATTCTTTTTTTAAAGATTTATTTTATTATGTATATAATGCTCTGCGTGTAATCCTGCAGTACAGAAAGGGCCACCGGATCTTATTACAGAAGGTTGTGAGCCACCATGTGGTTGCTGGGAATTGAACTCAGGACCTCTGGAAGAACTCAGTGCTCTTAACCATCTGAGCCATCTCTCCAACCCTCAGGCAGCATTCTTAGAGATACCTGGTACCCCACCTCCATCAGGACACTCTCACCCTGCCAGAGTCTTCCTCAGAAATGCCTAATAACATAGAAATGTAATAACACCAGGGCCTAATTCTGTATGGACAAAGAGTTTTCCTGCCCTGGAGGCTGATTTTTGTCTCTCTCTCTCTCTCTCTCTCTCTCTTTTTTTTGTCTCTAAGCCCAGCTCCAGCTGGGCCACCCACTCTTTGAGGTTCTACAATTTTCTCATTGGAAAGAGGCCTCCCCCACATCTCCCCCAGACAGGGTCCCTGGGACACAGCCCACCAGCAGTGCATCTGGGTGGAGCAGACAGACCAGGGGAGTGGCACTGAGAATTCTTAGCTACAGAGGAAGAGGAGAAAGCCAGATTTCTAGGCTGAAAATTGACCTAATGGGAACCATACCAAAGGGTGGGGCCAGATCCCTCGGCTGTGGGAACTGACCAAGACCTGGTATGGACAAGGCAACCTCCAGAAAGCCGGGGTAGAGGCTTGGCTCGGTCCCCTTACCCCCTGCATACCCCCCCCCTTCTAGGCCTGCTTCCCTGAAGTATAGTTTAAGTACTACGTGTGATAATGAGGGGGTACTCATTTTTGTGTTAACACAGCCTATGAAGAGTCAGGATGGACGCTAGCTTGCTTGGCCCGGGAGCAGTGAAAGCTGAAGCTGGGCTCTTGGGGGGCTGCCTAGGACACTGCACCGTTTGTGCCTTCTCCCTGCTGCCGGCACCCCGCGTGCTGTGGCTGCCTTCTATGGCCCTTTGTGTTTCTGTCACTGCTTAGTCACCCTCTTTGTTCTCCTCTCAGATGGGGGATGGAAAGGAGCAGTAAGAGTACCCTGGTGACAGCTCCTCTTGGCCCCCTGTTCCTTCTGGTCCCACATCCCTTGTGTGAGTCCTCCAGCCTCAGCCGCTCTGCTCAGGACCAGTGAGGGTCAGGGCATTTGATGAGGCCAGGAGGCGAGACTGGGTGGAATATTCGGGAAGTGATAGGCACCAGGGCAGGTGTCGGCCAGGAAGGGAGAGGAAGCATTTTGATGAGTATGATGTGGGAGACAGGAGGTGACAAGGCAGAATGAATAAAGGGGACGGGGCAGGACAGGTGGTGCTTCTCTGGGAAAGGGACGGGACTGCTGAGTGGAGTCTCCTTCCTGGGGATTTCCTGGGGAAACAAGTGGCCACAGGGTGGAGTGAACAGAAATTGCCCCACTTGTGAACTCTGAATCAGAGAAGTCATTAGCTCCCTTCTCTAACACCCCCACACATGCTCCCCCCAAGCCCTCTCTCCATCCCATGTTCTAGGCTCCTCCGGCTCCTCTTAGTACCCTCAAATGCTATTTGCACTCTTTTGCTCTGCTCCATGGAGAATGAGGAGTCAAAGATTACTGGATATTCCAGGAACTATTGGATTCAGAAGGCGGAGGTGGGGGAGATAGGGATTGACTTTGAGTAATTGTGGGTTCCCAAGAGAGCAGGTCTTGTCTAGGTGAGGGGCTAGCTGAGTTGAGGAAAGGGGAGGGTTTGGGGTAGTTGGGAGTAGGTAGGAACAGGGCCAAGGGCCTAGGGAAAGCTACTGGGAGCTGAGCCAGGGGAATGGGCAGTCAGGGAGGAGGAGGAGGCCTAGGGTGGAATGGCTGTTCTATGCTTTGGATAGAGTAAGGGTAACCCAGGAAAGCATAGCGGGGGGAGGGGGTACTCTGAGTCTTCTTCCTATAAAAAGAAAAGTAGTTTCAGCCTCCTGGCTGGCCTGCCTCCTTTGTCATGTCCCTTTCTTGTTAGCATTCCAACAGAAAGGTCCTGACTGCCGTCTCCTGCCTTCCTGTCTCTATTGCCTCTTCTTCTTGGTCCCATCCTCTCTTCTCTCTCAATACTTCCTTACCTGTTCCCCACTTCCTTTTAAACCCAGACAGCTTGACCCTAGAAATCTGCCTCTGGGGCAGAGGGCAGCGGAGGTGACACCTGTGGGACTGTTCCAGGCTGGACGGTAGGGACATGAATTCTCCCAGGATGGAATCTCGTGTGTGCGCATTGTCCAGGCCCTTTTCCCGAGTCTCTACGTCCCTTGGGGCTCTGTCCCACCAAAAAGGGAAAGAGACAGCTGAGGGCTGCTGGTGGTGGGATTTGGGAAAAAGGATGTGTCATCAACTTGGCTCACTGCCTATAATGCATCTGGCTGCTACAGATTCCCTTCACTGGGCAAGTCCCTCTTTTTTTTTTTCTTTTTTTTTAAGGGAAAGAAAAAAAAAAGAAAGGAAGGGGAAAAAAACCTAAGGTCGTTGGTAAGCAATGATCCATCCGTCTGTCTGAGTCCCACTGCCCGAGCTCCTGACTGAGTGGCTTACAGATCAGCCAATCACACACAGAGGGAGGCCCTGGACGCTTAAAAGAGCTGGCGGGGAGAGGGCTGGGGAGAACCCGGGGGAGACCCACTGTTACACAGAAAGGAAAGAGACTGTCGAGGAGAGACAGAGACAAAGAGACAGCCAAAGGAGGCAGAGGCAGAGCAGCACTGAGGCAAAGTCACACAGCTGGGCAGAGGGAGAAGCCAGAGAAGCCGAAGAAGACACAGACAGGGAGACCCAGGAGAGAAGGGCAGAGGAGGAAGCTTTGCAGGAGAGAGGTCCCTGGCACTTTTCTTCATCTTCTCTGAACATCCTTAGCCCCTCTCAAAGCTTTGCCTCAGATTTTGGCACAAGTCTTGAGAGCCCTCTGGCTTTAACGAGGAGCTTTCCACAGTTAGGGTGTGGAGGATTTGGTGCCTCAGATGGCCTCAATCCATCCCAGCTGCAGCACGGGTACCATGTCCCAGATGGGCTTGCATCCCGGGAGGGGCTTGACTGGGCACTGGCTGCAAAGAGTCCAGCTCCGCTTGCAGCCTCCCACTGTGCCTTTCTCTGGGCTGGAGTGGTGGCTGCTCCTGCTGCTGGCCTCCCTCCTGCCCTTGGCCTGGTCAGCCAGCCCCCTCCCCCGGGAGGAGGAAATCGTGTTTCCGGAGAAGCTCAATGGGAGCATCTTGCCTGGCTCAGGTACCCCTGCCAGGCTGCTGTACCGACTGCCAGCCTTTGGGGAGGTGTTACTGCTAGAACTAGAGCAGGACCCTGGGGTGCAGGTGGAGGGTCTGACCGTGCAGTACTTGGGCAAGGCACCTGAGATGCTGGGCGGGGCGGAGCCAGGTACCTACCTGACTGGCACCATCAATGGAGATCCGGAGTCGGTGGCATCTCTGCACTGGGACGGGGGAGCCCTACTGGGGGTGTTGCAGTACCGGGGCGCTGAACTCCACCTCCAGCCTCTGGAGGGAGGCAACCTTAACTCTGCTGGAGGACCAGGGGCTCACATCTTACGCCGGAAGAGTCCTGCCAGCAGCCAAGGTCCCATGTGCAACGTCAAGGCTCCTTCTGGGAGCCCCAACCCCATTCCCCGAAGAACCAAGGTAGGCAGCCCTGGAGTTTTTTTTTTCCTGAATCATCCTCCCGCCGCGTCTGTCCTACTGACCCCTATCCACCCTTTCTCCTCCCGCTTCCAGTTTTAGCCTTTCACTTTTCTCTTCTCTACCTTTCCTACGTCCACTACCCTGACTTTGGAAAGTGTTGGCTTCTCCCAGCCTTAGCCATTTGCTTTGCTCTGAGGATTCCCTGAGGTAAGTCAGATTCTCTGGGCTGGAATGACCTCTCCCCCTCCCTACCCCGCCCCTTCCTGGCTATGGAGTCTCCTGCTGACACAGTTCCCAGCAGTAAAGCTCTGCTAACAGCCTGTTGGCCTAGGCTTTTTTCTCTGCCCCAGTGATTTTTACCCCCACCCCCAGCGAGAGGAGTGAAGTTTGAGGCATGCATGAGGGGTTGGGGTTTTTGGCTTCTGACTTTGCCTTTAAAATTGCTCTGGCGAACTGCAAACTAGGACCGGGGTAGGCAGCGGAGGAGAGGCATCCCGTGCTCTGGGTCAACCCTCTTCCCACACTGTGGGCTGACTGCGGGGCTGCCTGAGGCGCCGTCCTTCCCTCCCTCCCACTCCTGGGTCTCCCCCTTTTCCTCTCCCACCCCGTCTCTAGCTTTAATCCAGACCAGACGCTCCTTCCACACCCGCCACGCTGAGATCTGGCTGCTGACTGAATTGTTCCTTCAACCACACAGGGCAGACACGTCGTTGTCACAGCCCAGCCCTCCAGCTCTGCTCCCACAACCCCCCACCCTCAGGGACCCCGGTCCCAGTGCCCCTCCCTGAAGCAGTCCCAGCTGCTTTTCACCTCTGGGGCCCACTCAGCCCTGAAACGTGGCAAGCCTTCTCCTCTTTCAGAACAACAGCTGATTCTTCAACATTACCACAAAAGCCCTGCGATTTGGGGCTGGGGGAGGGTCCAAACCAGTCACTTCAGGAATCCTGTGGGGTATGGAAGGGCCAGCTGACTCTGCTGAGTTCTGGACCCAGGCGAGGGAACGGAGAAGGGATCCTCGTGTATCTGAGAAGCTGTTTCAGCGCCCTTCTCTCTCTTTCTCCCCCTCTCCAGCGCTTTGCTTCTCTGAGTAGATTCGTGGAGACGCTGGTGGTGGCGGATGACAGGATGGCAGCATTTCACGGGACAGGGTTAAAGCGCTACCTGTTGACAGTTATGGCAGCGGCAGCCAAGGCCTTTAAGCACCCAAGCATCCGAAACCCTGTCAGCTTGGTGGTGACTCGGCTAGTGATCCTGGGGTCAGGCCAGGAAGGGCCCCAAGTGGGGCCAAGTGCAGCCCAGACCCTACGCAGCTTCTGCACCTGGCAGCGGGGCCTCAACACCCCTGAGGACTCAGATCCTAACCACTTTGACACAGCCATTCTGTTCACCCGTCAGGTAAGGCCCCAGCCAGCACCACATGCAAGGATCCACGACATACAGAAACCCTGCCGATACACAAACATGATGGGAAGGGTGCCCCTAGAGCCGTGACGCTCGTCCAGTGTCAACCACACTGCCGTGGGGTGGCTATTAAAAACGTTCTACACCTAATAAGTCTCTCCGCCGATGCAGCAATCCAAGTCACACCCAACCAAACCCAATTAGAGAAAGTCCAAGTTTAATGGTTACAGTGCTCCCAAATCCAAACGGCCTTCCAGCCCTCCAGAGAGGAGTCAGGAAAGGGAGACTGGAAAGACCTAGAATCTGTACGCTAGGGGGCAGTTTAAATACCCTGTGGGAGTGGTCTTGAGCATCTCTGGGGAGGGGCCATCATTTGACGGGCTTTCTGAGATGCAGCAGGGTTTGGGGGGAACTGGGGAAGGGGGACTCGGGTGGAACCTCCACCATAACGTTCCACTCTTTGGGTACATGGACTGGGGTGACGCTTCCACCATAACAGCTACCTGGGCCCTGACCATGCTGGGTACTCGGCATCTAGGGCACCAGCCTGAAGCGTCCTCTGTGCTCCTTCTCCACAGGACCTGTGTGGGGTCTCTACTTGTGACACTCTGGGAATGGCTGATGTGGGCACCGTGTGCGATCCAGCTCGGAGCTGCGCTGTTGTGGAGGATGACGGGCTACAGTCCGCCTTCACTGCTGCTCACGAGCTGGGTAAGTAGTCACGTGGATGGGAGGGGTCCTGAGGATCCTGTAAGGAGACCAGGGGCTCACCAGAGTGCAGATGGGGGAGTCGAGGTGTTCTCCTCCTCCCCAGGTGTAGGTCCAAGGTCAACATCCTTCTCTGTGCTGGGTGCAGAGAAACGCAGATTTTTCTATTAAGTAAAGTAGCAGGTGGGAACTACTTTGAACTGTGCACGTGCGCATGAATATTCATGTTTGGAAGGGGCGAGAGTAAGGGGGCGGGGCTTGAGGATTGGGAACGTTAGCTACAATGGAAACCAAGCAGAGGGGCCTCTCCTCCAGAGGAGAGGACAGAGCAACAAGAGCTACTACACATTCAGAGAACTATCCGGGAATGAGATGGGGGAGGGGAGGCGGATCTGACCAAGAGCTGCAGCCAGGGTGATGATGGACTCCCTCACCCCCACCCCCGAGTACACGGGATGGAACTCTTGGACACTAGCAGGACCTCTTCTCTTACAGGCCATGTCTTCAACATGCTCCATGATAACTCCAAGCTATGTGTCAATCTGAATGGGCACGGGGGGCTCCTCTCGCCATGTCATGGCTCCTGTCATGGCTCATGTGGACCCTGAGGAGCCCTGGTCCCCATGCAGTGCCCGCTTCATCACTGACTTCCTGGACAATGGCTATGGTAAGCAGGTAACATCTTCCCCAAAGCAAGACTTAATTCCTTCTGTGCTCTTGTTTCTGGAACATTCTCCTCTGCCTCTGTTGTATGTGATGGGGTGAGAAATACTGCTGTCTTGGTGTGGTTCCCACTTCCTATGAAAACAAGTAGCACAGGTAAGGGAGGCAAATGTTGGTTCCATACAACAATAAAGGTGGTGTGCACCTTTTTTCCCAGTGCCTGGGAGGCAGAGGCTCGTGGCGGGGGGTGGGTGGGGGGGTGGGGGGGTGGGGGGTGTCTTTGAGTTAGAGAAAAACCATGAGTCTGTACTCTAGGGGGCAGTTTAAATACCCTGGAGGAGTGGTCTTGAGCATCTCTGGGGGGAGGGTGAATTCTAGGAGCCAGGGCTTCACAGAAAAGCCCTGTCTTGAAACAAACAAACAAGCAAAAAACCAAACAAGACAAAAAGAATTGACCTTTTAAGGGCTAGAATTGTTCAATGTTGAAATGGACTGGCTATAAATCATGTAATTACACTGTCATTTGATGAAGTGTACAAGACAGCAAAATAACTTTTTCCAACTATTTTTTAAAAATTTTACGTGTGTGTGTGTGTGTGTGTGTGTGTGTGTGTGTATACATGCTTACAGGTGCCCCTGGAGGCCAGGAAAAGGGTATTGGATCCCCTGGAGTTAGAGAAGTTGTGAGTCACTTGATGCAGGTGCTGGGAACTGAACTCTGGACCTCTCCAAGTGCTCTTAACTGTAGAGCCATCTATCCAGCTCCCCAAAGTTGCTGGTTAGAAGCATTCTCAAGAATTCTATAGTACATGCCATTAATCCCAGCACTCTGAAGCAGGTGGATCTCTGTGAGTTTGAGGCCAGCCTGGTCTATGTAGTGAATTTCAGGACTATATAAGGAGACCACATCTAATTTTTTAAAAAAATGTATAGTGGAGCTAGGCATGGCAACATATGCCTATAATCCTAGTATTGGGGAGACTAAGGCAGAAGGATTGTCACATGACTTCCAGGCAAGCTTGAGCTATGTACTAATGAGTCCCAGGCTATCTAATGCTATAGAGTGAAACTCTGTCCCCAAGGCTCCAAATAGAGCCAACTAGATGGCTTAGCAGGTTAAGGTACTTGCTGCCAACCCTGATGACCTGATGACCCCTGGAAATTTGTCCTCTGACCTCTTATACATGTGCTGTGGAATGTGCAGACTCCATTCCCCTGAGCTAAGTAAGTGACTATAAGAAAGAAAGTTTTAAAAGCCTAAATACTAGAAATCATAATAATAAATCTTATTATGAGAAATGTCAGGTAGAAGTGCTTTTGGCTCCTATGCTGATTGAGTTCTTTGTTACTCTCGGACATGTGGCTTAACTTAACTCATTTTCCTGTGTCTGCAGTTAGCTAATAGATAAATTAGACATACTAATAGTCAGTACCTCACAGACTGTGATTAGTGAGATAGTGTGGATCAGGGATTTACCAGTCAGATCACATGATAGGCATCTAATCAGTGTAGCCGAGGGTACCTTAGCCACTACGGAGCCCCGGCATTAAGTTGGCAATCCTCAGTGCCCACCCCAGGCCCTTGCTAACCTTGTACCTTAACCCCCTTTCAGGGCACTGTCTCTTAGACAAACCAGAGGCTCCCCTGAATCTGCCAGTGACTTTTCCTGGCAAGGACTATGATGCTGACCGCCAGTGCCAACTGACCTTTGGGCCTGACTCACACCATTGTCCACAGCTGCCACCACCCTGTGCTGCCCTCTGGTGCTCCGGCCACCTCAACGGTCATGCTATGTGTCAGACTAAGCATTCGCCCTGGGCTGATGGTACTCCCTGCGGACCCACGCAGGCCTGTATGGGCGGCCGCTGTCTTCACGTGGATCAGCTCAAGGAGTTCAATGTGAGAGCTCAGGGCTTGGGTAAAAGGCCTACAGGAAGAACGGCCCTAAACCTAGGAGAGCGTGCTTATCCCACCTCCGTTCTGTGCCCCCGCAGATTCCACAGGCTGGAGGCTGGGGCTCCTGGGGACCGTGGGGTGACTGCTCTCGGACTTGTGGGGGCGGTGTCCAGTTCTCTTCCCGGGACTGCACACGGCCTGTCCCCAGGAATGGTGGCAAGTACTGCGAGGGTCGCCGTACCCGCTTCCGCTCCTGCAACACTGAGAACTGCCCAAGCGGCTCAGGTGAGGGCTGGGAAGGCTGCGAGCCTGGGAAGGGATGGCGGACAAGGACTGCTCCTTGAGCGTGAAACGAAGGTGCTGGCTGACTCTGCTGCTGGGGGGAGTTCCTTTATCTTTCCGGAACTGTCCCTGGCAATCCGTGTAACGTTCTGAGAGGCTGGGTGAAGGGTGTGTTGGACAGTGTGAGGAGAGAGAGGCTCAGTCTGTCTGTTTCATCCCGACAGCACTGACATTCCGCGAGGAGCAGTGTGCTGCCTACAACCACAGGACTGACCTCTTCAAGAGCTTCCCGGGGCCCATGGACTGGGTCCCACGCTACACAGGTGTAGCCCCTCGAGACCAGTGCAAACTCACCTGCCAGGCCCGGGCACTAGGCTACTACTACGTACTGGAGCCACGGGTGAGGACCAGAAACCCTCAGGCCCAGTCAGGGCTTAGTTACTTCCCAGTGATTCCTCTGATTCCTAATTTAAAAAGAGAAAAAGTCCCTCCAGACCATTGCTGGCGTTCATATCGCCATGTGAGCCTACAGATTTACTCAGTCTGTCCGCCCATGGGTGACCAGCATTAGGAAGACAAATGCCCGACTCTGGATATGTGGCTGGGAAGCTGCTGGGACTTGTTGCAGCTCTGATTCCTCCCCTTTCCTCCATCCTTTGGTGAGAACGGAAGCATGTGTGTGGCCTTTGGGGGAGATTCTTGACTCCTTTCCATGGAGTCCTCTGTCAAAGTCTTGACTGCTGGACAGCCAGTCCCTCAATGGATAGATTTCCCTGAAGTCACTGACATCTGGACACTCCCTTTGTGTCACAGAGTGGCCTGTTCAAGGCTAAACAAAGCCCTGCCAGCTTTAGACTCCCTCCCTTCCCCGGTAGGCTACAGAAAATTCCTACAGGTTTGGTGCCCTCTAGTGTCCGTCTGGAGGCTGTGCCGTTAAGTTTAGAGTTCGTTTGCCTTCTCAGTTTGTGGTCTTTGTAAACCTCAGAAATTCACCCTTAGAAACCTCATGCAGTAATTGTGGGACCTAGGTTTATGTTTACAAAGCATCTTGCCCATCACCTGACTCCCAGTCAATGCTGGAAAAATGACTGTATCACTGCCATCATTACAGCGCCACATAGGTGAAAGCTCATCCCCTTCCTTACCCATTTCTTTTATTCCTGATATCACTTTCCAGATGTTTAGCTTGCAAACCCCTGCAGCCTTAGCAAGTTCCCTTAGCCATGTCCCTCCTCTACTCCTCAGGTGGCAGATGGAACTCCCTGTTCCCCAGACAGCTCCTCAGTCTGTGTCCAGGGGCGCTGTATCCACGCTGGCTGTGACCGGATCATTGGCTCCAAAAAGAAGTTCGACAAATGCATGGTGTGCGGTGGGAATGGTTCTAGCTGCAGCAAGCAGTCAGGCTCCTTCAAAAAGTTCAGGTGCCTTCGCTGGTTCTTTTCCCCTCTGTCTTCCTGGCTGTTCTGGTCTTGGGGCTAAATGCGTGCCTGGTGGGGCAACTCTTTCTGAGGTAAAGCGGAAGACAGACCAGGAGACAGCTACAGTGCTGTGCTCCACACACTGAACAGAGAGGACCCAGGATGCCTCGAAGGCATCTGGGAAGGCTTCCTGGGTGATGACCTCTGAGCTATGAGTAGGAATTGGACAGGCCCGGAAGAGGCCAGGACTGGAAAGGACACATCAGTAAGAAGCAGCAGTAGGAAGTGTCCAAAGAGTAGGGAAGGCACGCTTGCTGGTAGCTCTCTCTTCTTAGGTGGGCATGTACCTCATATGGGCCTGAAGAGGCGACCCCTCATACACATACACACTCAAACACAGTAGGGCAAGCTGAAGGGATTCGGGAGATGCTGAGTTCTTCATCTACTTTTTCCTCACAGATACGGATACAGCGATGTGGTCACCATCCCTGCCGGGGCCACCCACATCCTTGTTCGGCAGCAGGGGGGTTCAGGCCCCAGGAGCATCTACCTGGCCCTAAAGCTTCCAGATGGTTCCTATGCCCTCAATGGTGAATACACACTGATGCCCTCCCCCACAGATGTGGTGCTTTCTGGGGCAGTCAGCTTGCGCTATAGCGGAGCCACGGCAGCCTCAGAGACACTGTCGGGACATGGCCCGCTGACCCAGCCCTTGACGCTGCAAGTCCTAGTGGCCGGCAACCCACAGAATGCACGTCTGCGGTACAGCTTCTTCGTTCCACGGCCAGTGCCTTCAACACCACGCCCTCCTCCCCTAGACTGGCTGCACCGCCGGGCACAGATTCTGGAGATCATCCGGAAGCGTCCTTGGGCAGGCAGGAAATAACCTCACTGTCCCGGCTGCCCTGCTGGGGGTGCCGGGGCCTCGGACTCATCTGAGAGAATGAGGGGGCTTCTGCAGCTGCCTCATGCTAAAACACAGTAGGGAAGTGCTGCGGAGGGTGAGACCTGCCCTGTCTCTCTGCCCTAAGCTGCAGGCTGGCCCTGCCCTGGTTTCCTGCCCTGGGAGGCAGTGATGTGTAGGTGAATGGAAAGGGGCTAGGAGACAGTTCCCTATCTAAACTGCCCCCTCTGCCCTGCAGGTCACAGGAGGGAGAGGGGAAGACAGGATGGGTCCTGGGTCCCAGTTGTATTTATTTAGTATTTATTCACTTTTATTTAGCACCAGGGAAGGGGACTAGGGTCTTGGGGAAACTCACCCCTTATAGCCCCACCCTAGCTATGAAATCCAGGGTGGTGGTGACAAACACGTGTGTGTGTGTGTGTGTGTGTGTGTGTGTGTGTGTGTGTGTGTGTGTTTATGTATGAGGTACAACCTGCCCTGCTTTCCTCTCCCTGATTTTTTTTTTCTGGGGAAGGGAGAGCCAAAGGTAGGATTGGCCTTCAGGGAGTGAGGGATTATCATATTTTTAAATATACATATTGAGGTCTGCTATTTATATGCTCCTTTGGGGGCAGACAAATGTGGGTTGCACCTTGGCCCCACACCTTTGAGCATTTGTTTTCTTGTTTGCCAATAATAATACCTCCCTTAGAAATTTGTTGTAAGGGTTAAACAATGTAAATAAAGAGCTAGCGTAATGCCTCACACTCAATAGGTGCTCAACAATGGCAACTGTGTCACTGTCATCATTGTTCTGTCCACACTCACCCTCCATGGAGGGTCTGCAATGCACTTAAAGTCCACAAGGATCCGTGTCCCTCATGCCTATCTTTATGGCCAGGCCAGATCCTTTGGTTGGCAGTACTTGCTCTCTGTTAAGACTGGAAGAGATTGTCAGAAAAGGCCATCATGTCCATCATGTCTGTAGGCACATAATCACCTGAAGCAGACACAATAAACACTTGGCAAGTATAGCCAGTAAGAACATGAAAATACAAAAACAAAACAAGAAAACCCAACTCCCTCAACATAAACAAATGCTGGGATGAAACCAGAGTGGCCTTGGTTGTCAGAGTGATGGCTGAGGGGGTGGAAAAGGGATGTTGCAGTGGGATCCTGGCACTCCAGGAGCTGAGGGATCTGAACTTGAGCTAGGATTCAGCATCTTATTAACTGGTGATGTTGGGCAAGTCACATAACCTTAGACTACAAGTATGTGGAACGGGGCCAATAGTAATCGTTCCCACAGCATTGCTCTGTGCTCCAGGATTCGTAATATGAGAGGTGACCTTTGTGATGACTGACTGAGACAGTGACTCCAGAATCAATCAATGTAGACCCAGCAGACTTCTTGGAAGATGCGAGGTTAGAATGGAATTCAATGAGAGGAACAGGATGTGGTCTGGTAAGCAATAAACAGCAAAGCAAAGCCAAAAAAAAAAAAAAGGCATGGAGAAGGATCTAAGAAGAGTGTAGAGCCATCTGGTCTTCTGTTCAGTGGGGGAGAACGGAGGAGTGGCACTGTGTTGAAATGGACCTCCTTTCCTTGAGGAATAACCTAGGCAGACTTGGGTGTGTTGCAGATGGGTGGGCAACGGTGAGGGTTTTAAGTGGCAAACGCAGAACTGCTCGGTTTGGGGAAGGGACTGAATGTTGAAGTGGGAAGGAGCTGTGGGTGGAGGCCCTGACATGACGGTGGCCCGTGAACAAACCGAAGGCATCTTCTCTGCCATGCCACCTTCAGCTGTGACTTGAGATGCAGAGCAGGGGCTCTGAGGCAGAGGGGCAGCCACGGAGGTTGTGGCTGTTTGTGCTATATTCAGCGGAGCTATGTTGTAGAATAATAGGTTAACCATGTAAAGATGTGCTGCATTTGTTTAACTATGTAAAGATGTTTTGCGCTTGTTTATGCTGCATTTGTTTAACTATGAAAAGATATGTTGCTATGGTTTTTTTTTTTTTTTTTTGCTTTGCTTGCCTGTGGCACCTTATTGACCTAATAAAAAGCTAAATGGTCGCCGGGCGTTGGTGGCGCACGCCTTTAATCCCAGCACTCAGGAGGCAGAGGCAGGTGGATCTCTGTGAGTTCAAGGCCAGCCTGGTCTATTGAGTTCCAGGACAGCCTCCAAAACAATACAGAGAAACCCTGTCTCGAAAACCCTCCCCCCACACAAAAAAAGAAAAAAGCTAGGTAGAAACTAGCCTAAGTTAAGGCAGAGCATTCATAGTTAGTAGTAAATCTCTATGTCATGATTTGGGGGCTAGCAGTCCAAAAAAGTCTGCTACAGAGTTAGGCTTTGCTGATCACATTCTGTATGAGGCAGAGCTTTACACCACCCAGCACAGGGCCTGCTCACTGCAGCAGTGAGGGAAGGGCTGGCTACACTCCTCTAGCTGGCAAGCATTGATCCCACTGCTGGTCTTGTTCTCTGGTGGGTCGTGTGGACTCCTACCAACCAGGCAGGAGGAGGCAGGGACAGGAGAGTGGGAAGAAACTAAAGTGATCTTCAGTTGTTTTGTCTAGCTGGTAAAACTGGACCTATGTTTATGGAATGTAGTACTATGAGCTCTGTTCAAGTGAAGGAGAAATAAAAACACAAATGATATATGACCGTGTCTTAAAGAGCTCACATTGTGGGCTGGAGAGATGGTTCAGTGGTTAAGAGCACTGACTGGTCTTCCAGAGGTCCTGAGTCCAATTCTCAGCAACCACATGGTGGCTCACAACCACCTTGAATGAGATCTGGTGCCCTCCGCTGGCATGCAGGTAGAAGATTGTATACATAATAAATAAGTAAAATACTAAAAAAAAAAAAAAAAAAAAAAAGGAGCTCACATTGCATCCTAAGGAGGAGGAGTTTGTACATTGCATGTGCACAAAGTGAAACAATGGGACAGTACAAGGGACTATATGATAAAGGCAAAATGGACTTTGTAGGGATTGAGCCTGGAACCTAAGCACCACGAGGGCTCAGGAAAAAGGAGCCTTGGATGGGCTTTGGAAGATAGGTCATTATGACAGCCCTTCTCACATTTCCTTAGGGTTCTTGGCAATTTACTTTGTAAATCACTCTCATATAAGTTGTTTTTATTTTATTTTATTTTATTTTATTTTTGGTTTTTCGAGACAGGGTTTCTCTGTGGCTTTGGAGGCTGTCCTGGAACTCGCTTGGTAGTCCAGGCTGGTCTCGAACTCACAGAGATCCTCCTGCCTCTGCCTCCCGAGTGCTGGTATTAAAGGCGTGCGCCACCAAAGCCCGGTGATAAGTTGTTTTTAAAAACCACTTTGCAAAGCCGGGCGTTGGTGGCGCACGCCTATAATACCAGCACTCAGGAGGCAGAGGCAGGTGGATCTCTGTGAGTTCGAGACCAGCCTGGACTACCAAGCAAGTTCCAGGACAGCCTCCAAAGCCACAGAGAAACCCTGTCTCGAAAAACCAAAACAAACAAACAAACAAAAAAAATAAAAACCACTTTGCTCACTAGACTGACACAAAGAAATTTTCTCTTTTGAAGGTGGAAACAGGAGGACCAGGAATTCAAGGCCAGCCTCTGCTGCTACACCATAGTAAATTTTAGGCCAGTCTGGCTACATGGCACTTTGTCTCAAAAGAAGAGGAGGGCTAGGTGGTAGTGGTGGCACATGCCTTTAATTCCAGCACTCGGGAGGCAGAAGCAGGTGGGTTGATGAGTTCGAGGCCAATCTGGCCTCCTGAGAGAGTTTTAGGACAAGCAGGGCTACACAGAGAAACCCTGTCATGGGAGAGAGGAGGGAGGAGGAGAAATGTAATTTTTTGCCAAAAATGTATTCAAGGCTAGAGGGGTGGCTCAGCAGTTAAGACCACTAGCTGCTCTTCTAGAAGAATTGAGTTTGAGTTCCAGCACCCATATGGCAGCTCACAACAATCTACTACTCCACTTCCATGGAATCCAATTCTTTCTTCTGGTCTTGAGGTTTTTCTGTCATCTTAGCGGCTGCACATGAATCTACTGATATTTTAATTATCATCTGTGGCCCATGGCCCCTCAATCAATGACTGTTGGCCACTTAGACTGCAGCCTGGTGGGGCTTCCAGTCCCTCAGCCCCAGTTCTGCCACAGCTGTGATATATAGGTTTAAATTAAGTCTGTAGGGTCTGAAGAGATGGCTCAGAGGTTAAAAGCACTGACTGCTCTTCCAGAGATCCTGAGTTCAATTCCCAGCAACCACGTGATGGCTTATAACCATCTGGTGCCCTCTTCTGACATGCAGGCAGAACAGTATATATATAATAAATAAATCTTCAAAAAAATTAAGTCTCTATTGTTCTATTTATCAATAAGGCTAGCTCAGAAACCAGCTGATCTTGCTTTTTGCAGGAGACACTGCAAGAAATGTCTCTTCCCTGTTCCCAGAACCAAGAGAGCTCACACTCTAGTCTCAGCTCTTTCCTTCCTGTACATCTTCTCTATTCAAATTCCTGGCTTCTCCATGGCCAATTCTGATCAGCTAGTTTCTGGCTCTGTCCCTGATTCAGCTATAACTTTATTGGGCAGTCTTGGGAGTGTCAGAGTACAATCAAAATATCCTACAACATGTTCTCTGTGGGTACAAGGAATGCATGTGGTTCACAGACATATATGCAGACAAAACACTAATATCCATAAAATAAAAATAAACAAATGAATAAAATTTAGAAAGAATTGAGTTTAAATATTACTTCTGTGATTTGAGTGAGTAGGTAGATTTGTATAGTGAAAGGGAGTCAGAAACAGCTAGCCCTTCAAAAAGATGAGTATCCCAGCCCTCAATGTCAGTCAACCCCTGACCCCTTTCAGGAACGATCCTCCATATTCTACCCCTCCAGGGCAGGAATTTAATCTTCACATAATACCCATCCTGAAGTTGAGTCCAACAAGCTCTTGCTAGAAATAGAGGTGAGGAAATATAGCTTTTTTTTTTTTTTTTTTTTGGTTTTTCGAGACAGGGTTTCTCTGTATTGTTTTGGAGGCTGTCCTGGAACTCACTCTGTAGACCAGGCTGGCCTCGAACTCACAGAGATCCGCCTGCCTCTGCCTCCCGAGTGCTGGGATTAAAGATGTGCGCCACCACCGCCCGGCCGGAAATATAGCTCTTTATATATGGATCAAGATGAGCTTAAATTACCCAGTCGAAGTATTGTCTGTTTAGGTTTGAACTATGATGTGGTTAAAAAAAAAAAAAACAAAGGTAGTAGAGGGGCTGGAGAGATGACTCAACGGTTAAGTACACTGACTGCTCTTCCAGAGGTCCTGAGTTCAATTCCCAGCTGACACATAGCAGCTCACAACTATGTATAATGAAATCTGGTGCCCTCTTCTGGTGTGCAGGCATACATGCAGGCAGAACATTTCATACATAATAAATACATCTTTAAAAAGGAAGAAGTAGGAGTAGAAAGGAGAAAACAGGCACTGAAATTGTTTAAGTGTCTGCTTGTAAAGGTAAAAAGAGGGACCAGTGAGGGACTTGAAAAAGAAGAGGAGTGATTGACAAGGGGTGCATTCCTTAAAAGAAGTTCAAGTGGAGTTGGGACCGTCTCATTTCATGAGATGGCAGATGCTATCCCTAAGGACTCATCTGAGCTGGGAAGGAGACTGAGGCAATACACGAGTTGGACCAATTTCTTCAAACCCCTCTGGCCTGGCCCTGACATTCAAACTTCTGTGGTTAGAACAGAGGAAATCTGGGCTTTCGTCCAATCACTATTTTTGTGGCAGTGGCGGGAGAGCCAGGGTTTCTGGAGAGTGCTGTGGAATGGGTGTTTATTTTTTTCTACATGAACTCTAGCTCCACTTCTTTCCTCTCCATACTGTAGTTTTCTTTCTTCCTAAAATACGAGATTGACAGTGACAAAGAAACATCTTATTGGTCAGAGCTTGTCAGGGAGGAAGGGGCAAGAAAATGGTTTCAAAGCATTAACATTTTATTGGCTAAGAGAATGATGCTTCTGAGCCAATTGAATACCTTCCCCATTGACTGTTGCTGGGGGCAAGCCAAAATGTTTGGCAGCAAGAGTAACCAGCTGACAGCTGGGGGAAACCACGAGCTCTAAATATGCTTGGAAAGAGGGGAGTCAGAGGAGGTGGGGGAGCAGCAGTGCTCAACAACATCCTCAGACAGGACCTTATATGGGGACAGGCTCAGAGGACTTAATTAGCCCTGGGAAGGAGCGGAGGGGTGGCGGAAATATATATCTAAGCATCCATTATAGTCTTCAACTAACAAAAGGTCCCATGAGCTCTCACAAACAGTGACACACATTTTACACACACACACACACACACACACACACACACACACACACACACACACAGAAAGAGAGAAACATGTTAGGTGGATTCTCTTGATAATGTACATGCAAATATGCACAAGAGAGGGAGGGAGGGGGAGAAGAGTAAAAAAGGAGGAGGAAGGGGAGACCAGGAACATGAGTCTCAACAATAAGGTAAAAATGCTGCTTGGGGGAAAGAGGAGGGGGAGGGGACGGACGGGGAACGGCAGGGATGGCTCAGTGGTTATGAGCATTGGCTGCTCTTCCTGAGCAACCACATGATGGCTCACAACTATTTCTAGTGGAATCTGATGCCCTCTTCTGGCATAAGGGCATACAGATAGAGCACTGTAAAATAAATGAGTCTTTTTAAAATATCCTGCTGGGAGTGGTGGTACATTACTGTAATTCTTGCATTCAGGAAGTTGAGGCAGGAGACTTGCCAGGAATTTGAGGACAGCTTAGCTTAGCTATGGAAGAAGATGCAGGCGTAGTGGCTGTCCATGTCTTTAATCCTAGCAGTCGGGAGGCAGGTGGATCTCTGAGTTCCAGGACCGCCTGATCTACAAAGTGAGTTCCAGGACGGTCAGAGCTACAAAGAGAAATCCTGTCTCCAAACACGCCCCCCACCAAAAAAAAAGAAAAAAGAAGACTCTACCTCAAAAGCTGAAAATCAAAAAGGGTCTAACCAAGGAAGTTCAGTTGACAAAGTGCATGCCACAATGTACTTGAAATTGGAACACTGGGGGTGGGAACAGGTAGATCTCTGAGAGCAGCTAGCTAGCCAGCCTAGCCTAAGCAGCAAATCTCAATTTCCAGTTCGGTCTCAAAAAACAAGGTGAAGGGCTGAAGAGATGACTCAGTGGTTAAAAGTATGTGCCACTCTTGAAGAAGACCAGGTTTGGTTCCCAGTGCCCTCCCAACACTGCAGCTCACAACCACCTGCAACTCCAGTTCCAGGGTTTCTAGTGCTCTCTTCTGGTTTGCTGTGGGTACCAAGCATGCACTTACATCATCAAGATAAAACATTCATTCACACAAAATAAAATAAATAAATCTGAAAAATTAAAAATAAATAAACATGAGCCTGGCGGTGGTGTCGCACGCCTTTAATCCCAGCACTTGGAAGGCAGAGGCAGGCAGATCTCTGTGAGTTCGAGACCAGCCTGGTCTACAAGAGCTAGTTCCAGGACGGACCCCAAAGCCACAGAAAAACCCTGTCTCAAAAAAAAAATTATTTAAAAAAAGAAAACTAGGTTGGAGTTCTGTTTTAGCTAGGCAGTGGTGCCTCGTCCTTTAAACCCAGCATTAGGAAAGTGGAGACAGGAAGTGATTGGGGGGGTGAAGACAGGATCTGGGCCCTTTTGATCATAGGGTCCAGAGAGGTAAGCGGTCACTGGTGGCTGCTCCTCTGTTTCTCTTATCTTTCAGGCTATTACCCTGATATTTGATTCCGGGTTTTTACTAATAAGATTAATTAGAGTTTTGCTTCAAATGAATATAAAACTGAATGAGAAAATGGAGACAAATATTTCGTTTTTGTTTTGTTTTTCTCCAAGTGGTGTTTACTAGACAAGACATAATTTACAAGCAGGTCACTCACCTATACTGAGTTGTAAGGTAATTTCATGAAAACAATGTTTAAAGCAGGATATGCTGTACATAAGTCCTCCAGGCTTCCCAACAGACGTGACTACTTTTGAGAAGCTAACCCAGGATCACCACATGTGACTGAGGATTCTTTCAGGTCATCATTATCATTGCGTTATATTGTTTGTAGCCTCTCACCCCACGGGCAAACACTGTAAGTAATTGGTCTTTTATTGTTTCCTCGGCATGAACATTTGCTTTGGGCTGGTAGAAGCCACAGGATTAAGTATCCTGCACATCGTTGTAGCGTCCATTTTAGTCTAATACCTAGGAAAGCATATTTACATCAGAGCCGACGCTGCCTTTCCGTCCACATGCTCTGCGGTCCACATGCTCTGCTTCACTGTTAACTAACCATGCGGATACAAATGCGTGTACAGTAACCTTAGAAAAAAAAATTCGATACTAAGTAGCACTAGGCTACAGGGGGCGCCCGTGACACACTTGGGAAAGGGCTCAGCATACCCTGGGGTGAGGTCCTCCGATGCATCCGAAACTGGTTCTCAGCCCTACTGAGAAACAAGGGCTCTGAGCGGCGGTGCCCTGAGGTGAGCAACGGAACCTGTGAGGTGGAGAGGGAGCGCGGGGTCTAGGGGGTCTAGGGCTCCTCCACAACCCCAGCGAGCTTCTCCGCGGCGCGGGTTACCAGCCCCGGGGCTAGCAGGCTGGGCGGTGCTGGGTCCTTGCGCCTGCCCGCCGGAGGCTCCGCCCCGTGACGCGGGCCCCGCCCCCAGCGCCCGCTTCCAAGATGGCGGCGGCGTTACCTGCCCGGCTGTCCGGGTGGCGGTGACCAGGTATGGTGGGCTTGGGACCTCGGAGAGAATCCTCGGAGCAAGGTTCGGGAGATCGGGGGGAGGAAAAGTTCTGAGTAAAGGCTGGAAAGCCAGATTGAGCACAGGCAAGAGTCTCGGGTGGAAATGTGGATGCGGGCCGATTGCCTTCACGTTGCACGCCAGGGACAAACAAGAGACTAAGGTGGGATGGGCGTGCCCGAAAAAAGAAAGGAATTCTAATCCCACACCCCGCGCGCGCAAAGCGCTGACCACGCCCTTCCAGGTGAGCCGGACTCTGCTCTAGATCTCCCTCTCTGCTTATCGCTTCACCTAGAACTCTGCTCCCCACCCCCACTAGGCTTGGAGAAAGGTGAAGAAGGTTAAGGACACCCCCCCCCCTTCTCCGGGCCACGCTCCAGGGTTACTCGCTTGCGGTTCCCAGGTGGTCAAGCACCCTGCTCCTGCGGAGGCGCTCCCTGGTACGTGTAGAACAGAAAGAACCTGTTTCCTGTTCTACTGTTTTCTAGGCCACTCCAAGGTCCTATCACAACTGTCTTGCCTCTTGAATAGGTTTTTTTTGTTTGTTTGTTTGTTTTTGGTGCCTACATTCACTTCCCTGTCCCCACTCCTCAAACTCGTTTTGTCGAAGTAGAGGGTTAGATACAGACCTGTCACTTAGTAGTCTACTGGAGGTAGCCCCAAAGAGACTTGACCTGGCGTCTTTTCTTTTTCCAATCACTTTCCCGCACTTCCCATGATGAGAAAGTTGTTTCTTCCTGATCCTGGTCTCTTGGTCTCTGCTGTACAGGTGACTGGTTCTCCTTGATCACTTCTGCTCCCGCTGGTCCCAGATTGGTCGTTGGAATGCCTTTTTCTGTCTTCTGTGGCAGTTCCAATTTTAGATAATGCCTCATATCTCTGCTCCCCGGGGACCTCCTGGAGCCCCCATGATCCGGAAGAAGACAGCTTGAACACAGGTGTGTCTATCTCTTTTGTAAGATTGGAGAGATAAAGACTTCTGAAATGGACTTGGGACTTGAATGATGTAAGCTTTCTTGAGGGTGGAGACTGAAAGTGAGTGATGAAAATGAAATTTGAGCTTTATTGATTTGGATAAGGACTGCTGGTGGTTGTTACCTGGTTATCTTGGGGTTTTTTTTTTTTTATTTTCCTTGTTTGATTACATTAATGTTCCTTTTGTGACTTTGTTCTCTGCCTTTTTGTCTTCCTCTCCCCGGCACCACTTTCATCTCTACCTGGCTTGCTGTCTTCCCTTCTGTTTGCTTCCAGAAATCCTGCCACTCTGTCCCTAGGCCTCCAGTCAGGATGTTGCGGAGGCTGCTGGAGAGGCCCTGCACATTGGCCCTGCTTGTGGGCTCCCAACTGGCAGTTATGATGTACCTTTCACTAGGGGGCTTCCGAAGCCTTAGTGCCCTGTTTGGTAGAGATCAGGGCCCAACGTTTGATTATTCTCATCCCCGTGATGTCTATAGTAACCTCAGTCACCTGCCTGGGGCCCCGGTTGCTGCAGGGGCTTCTCCAGCTCAAGCTCTGCCCTATTGTCCAGAGAGATCTCCTTTCTTAGGTGAGTATGAAGGGAAGAAGGTGATGAACTGAAGGAGGTGTGGGGGCAGGGAGTCCTGAGCAGGCATGACTTGAGACTTAAGTTAATATACTAAAACGAGCTGATGTGGAGAGAGAGTGGCCTGTGAATTCAGAGGTTAGAATAGGCTCTTGGGTCACAAGCTTTCCACTGCCTGCCCATTTTATGGGCTCCTCATGCCCTAGGGTAGGAATTATTTTTCTTGTAGATGAGTTATGGCTTTATTAGGTAGAAGTCCTTTTGCTCTTTTCCTGTAGCATCAGTGTGGGACAAGAGAAAGTTATATAGAACTCTAAAATAAGAAAGTAAGTAATCTAGGGGCTGGAGAGATGGCTCAGAGGTTAAGAGCACTGACTGCTCTTCCAGAGGTCCTGAGTTCAATTCCCAGCAACCACATGGTGGCTCACAACCATCTACATTTCAATCTGGTGCCCTCTTCTGGCATGTAGGCAGACTACTGTATATGAAATATATAAATAAATCTAAAAAAAAAGATGTTACATTTCTAAAAAAAAAAAAAAGTAAGTAATCTAAGGTAAGAGCCTGCCTGCAGATTTAGGTTTTGTGGAGCTGTCTTTGGGGTTTTTTTGAGACAGGGTTTCTCTGTGGAGCTGTGGAGCCTATCCTGGAACTCGCTCTGTAGACCAGGCTGGCCTTGAACTCACAGAGATCCGCCTGCCTCCTGAGCGCTAGAATTAAAGGCATGCACTACCGATGCCACCAGCAGCAGCCTTGTGGAGCCGTCCTAATGAAGGGAAACCCAAGGCTTCTTAGATTTTTGAGTGAGCCCTTGGGGAAACTGAGCCCAGAATCAGGCTGATATCCATTTTCTTCTTGTGCCTCCAATTTCTGAATTTGCCGTTCCCTATCAACAGTGGGTCCTGTGTCGGTATCGTTCAGCCCAGTGCCATCACTAGCAGAGATTGTGGAACGGAACCCCCTAGTGGAGCCAGGGGGCCGGTACCATCCTGCAGGGTGTGAGGCCCGCTCCCGGACAGCCATAATCGTGCCCCACCGTGCCAGGGAGCACCACCTGCGCCTGCTGCTCTACCACCTGCACCCCTTCCTGCAGCGCCAGCAGCTTGCCTACGGCATCTACGTCATCCACCAGGTACCCCGCTCCCCACCTTGCTCGCTTGTTGTTGGTTCTCTGTGGCATAGCTCTGGCTGTCCTGGAACTCACTCTGTAGACCAGGCTGGCCTGGAACTCACAGAGATCCGCCTGCCTCTGCCTCCCGAGTGCTGGGATTAAGCTCTGCATCACCAGTGTCCAACCCCTTACTTTTTTGATGTTAGGGAAGCCTCAAATAAATGCATCTTCTCTCATCTGTTGTAAGAGGGTTAGACAATAGATAACGGAGAAGCCTTGTTCTTCCAACCTTGTGAGTCCCATGCTTATGCTGTTAGGTCTGTCTCCCTATTCTGTTAGGGTATTCCTACTCTCCTGTATTTTTCTCTGATTTTTCCTTTGTTGAGTGACTTATGCAAATTTGGACTTGGTCAAGAAAGAGCTAAAATACTAGTTCTGCAGTTTTGTAAAAAATTGCATTAGATTTATTTTGTGTGTGTATGTGTGTGTGTTGCCTGCATGTATGAATGCAAAACAAATATGTATTTGTTTTGTTTTTTGAGATAGGGTCTCATGTAGCCCAGGCTGGCCTCAGAATTTACTATGTAGCTGAGAATGCCCTTCAACTTTTTTTTTTTTTTGGTTTTTCGAGACAGGGTTTCTCTGTGGCTTTGGAGGCTGTCCTGGAACTCACTCTGTAGACCAGGCTGGCCTCGAACTCACAGAGATCCGCCTGCCTCTGCCTCCCGAGTGCTGGGATTAAAGGTGTGGGCCACCAACGCCCGGCTCGCCCTTCAACTTCTGATCCTCCTGCATCTCCCTTCGCACGGCGCATGCTGCTGTACTTGGTTTTGTCTGGTGCTGAAGACTGTACCGAGGGCTTAATGAAAGCTAGATAACATTCTACCAACTGAGCCACATCTCCAGCCCTTGTTTGCTTCATAGCCTACTCAAGATTCGCGTCTCAGTCTCCCAGTGCTCGCCTGGCTGTTTTGTTCTTCCTTCTGCTGGCCCCACATTCCGCTTAGATGTCCCCTTTCCACTTTGGCACACATGCTACCTACCTTCTCCATGCACAGCCTGGTCCCTTTCGTTGTCTTCTAGGCTGGAAATGGAATGTTTAACAGGGCAAAGCTCCTGAATGTTGGGGTGCGGGAAGCCCTTCGAGATGAAGAATGGGACTGCTTGTTCTTACATGATGTGGACCTCCTTCCAGAAAATGACCATAACCTGTATGTGTGTGACCCCCGGGGACCCCGCCATGTTGCTGTTGCCATGAACAAGTTTGGATACAGGTAGAGGGCATGCAAGGGCAGGGAAACCAGTTTTGTAGGAGGAGAACTAAGGGGGTTGTGGGTAGGATTGATGTTCCAAATTTGTGAAATACAAGGTCTTTTTCTCCTTAGCCTCCCGTACCCCCAGTACTTTGGTGGGGTTTCAGCGCTCACTCCTGACCAGTACCTGAAGATGAATGGCTTCCCCAATGAATACTGGGGCTGGGGTGGTGAGGATGATGACATTGCTACCAGGTCAGACTTCTTGCAACACCTTTTCCCCAAACCCTGGCTACAATCTTTCAACACAAACCTAGCTTCTGGTTCTGCACTAAGCCCATTCCTTTCCTTTGACCTTAGTTTACGCAGGACAGGCTTTAACCCCTGCCTCCCATTCTGTCAGATTTCAGTTTTCTAGATAGATCTGGTTGGTTATATTCTTGGGAAAATGGGTAAGATGAACTGGAAATGTGGAATTCCAGATCTTAAGAAGGGGCCTAAAGACAGGTTAGTTCTTCATTTTGATAGGCTTACTTAGAAACTACTTCTGTGTGTGTGTTGGGGGGGGGGGGTTCTGTTCTATATAGTCCAGAATCACCCTTTCTTTGTTTTTTTCTTTTAAAGGGGGGGTGGGGGAGGATCCTGATTGGCATGATGCCAGTTCATTTCTTAGCATGTGGAACGTTCTTGCCTGTAGCCTTCAATGAACCAGTTTCGGGTGAAGTGTATTTGAACTTGGTGTGCTGGGTCCATTGCCTCCCCTCCCCTTCTGCCCCTTGTAATGACATCTTTGTGTGAATTCTCATCTCTGCGTGTGTATTTCATACCCTGAAAATCTTAGATGTATTTTTTTCAGTTCTTTGTCAAACTGCCTCCAAACTGCTTCTATGTTTCAGAATTGGGGCTTGTTTAAGATCCTGATCAGTCTTTCTGCTTCTGCTGCTGGAAAGGAGTTGGGTAGCTTAGACACTGTTTCTAAATCAGACTTGCTGGGCTAGGGGTGCAGCTCGGGAGTTCCGTGTTTAGCATAGGTTAGCTCCACTTCTGATGCCTAGCTTGGCAGGGGAAGAGGCTGAGGTGGCTTAGTCTGGATCTGCCAAGACTCCAAGGGCAACTCCTAGGAGCCATTTAGAAAGGAGATATAAGAGTCACAAATCTCCCTCTGCCAGTTCTTGTACGGCCCCGGGGCACCTGGCATTAGATGCTGCTTACTTAGACACAGCCAGCTCTGCCTTCTGTTTGATTTTCTCCTGCCTTTTCACATGTGGCAGTTTTGTTTGTTTTTCCTTCCCAGACAGAGCATTGTTCTTTGTGTACAGGTGTATGTTATCGCTCCCTTGATGGTCTTTACTTTTCTCATTCACCTACCAGCAGCTTTTTTTTCCATTCTAGCTCCTCCAAGAGTTCCTCTGTTTTCTCGTAGGGTCCGCCTGGCTGGGATGAAGATCTCCCGACCACCCGCCTCTGTGGGGCACTATAAGATGGTGAAGCACAGAGGGGATAAGGGCAATGAGGAAAATCCCCACAGGTAGGAAAGGATCGCTATCGGACTCCCACCTTCCTCTCTTCAGGAAACTCTTGAATGTCCCTAAACTCCAGGCTATTCCTTTTAGATCCTAGTCCTAAATAAACCTTTTACCCTCAGATTTGACCTCCTGGTCCGTACCCAGAATTCTTGGACACAAGATGGAATGAACTCACTGACATACCAGTTGCTGGCTAAAGAGCTGGGTCCTCTCTATACCAACATCACTGCAGACATTGGGACTGATCCTCGGGGCCCTCGGGTTCCCTCTGGTCCCCGATACCCACCAGGTTCCTCCCAGGCCTTCCGACAAGAGATGCTGCAACGCCGGCCCCCATCTAGGCCGGGGCCTTTGCCTACTGCCAACCACACAGCTCCCCATGGTTCACACTGATTCTTCCTTGCCCACTTTAATCATGAAGCTGAACCAGAGGGGTTGTATCCCCCACACCTTCTGCTCCTCGCTGCTCTCAGAGGGATGTGAGGGAACTAAATTCTAGTACTGTGCTGGGGGCAGGGATCTCTCCTCACTGTTAGACTGGAGCTGGGCTCCTCTAGACCTGGAGGTTTCTCTTTTTAGGGGCCACCTCTCAGGGCTTATGACTGTGAATCCTTGATGTCATTTTATATGACGAATCCTGGGAATCCTCTGCCCCCAGGGTAGGAGCAGGGCTGGATCCCAAGCCCCTTCCTTGTCCAAGAGTGACCTGGCTTCTCCTGGGACTCCTGTGAATATTTATTCTATTTATGGTTCCTAAGAAGCTGTCTGGTGGAGGCAGCCTCTGCCAGGGCAGCCCTGCCAGTGCTGGAGCAGCTCCTCTGGTCTTGGCCCAAGGAGCTGGGATTTTGATAACTTTTCTAATAAAGGACTTTGTCTCATCTTTCTCGCGCTTTCTGCCTTCCAGGCTACTCCATCTTCTCCCACCACCCCTGGCCCCGATAAGCCTGTAGGCTGACAGAATGGCAAGACCAAACTAAGTTCGAGCAACTTTTATTTTCCTGAACGGGAGCTGGGGAATCAGCTGTTAGGTCCTGTGCCCAGGACAGCAATTGCTGCCTGACGCCCACTCTCTATACAGTCATTGACCGCGACCCCCTCATAGGACGCTCCAGCCAAAGTCAGGGGCAGCCTCTGAGTGGTCAGGAATTGCTTAGCCGACTCTGAAAGGAAGGAAGGATGAAAGGAATGTTATAGCTAGGGTCTGACTTCCGCAGCCCAGCCACTTTCCCAACTTACCTAGTTTTTGCCAGTGGCCTAGTGTATACTGAGGGATACAGTTCTAAGGAGAGATAAGATGCAAGGGAAAGTTTCAAGACCTTGACTGACACACTGATAAACACGGTAGTCCTTACTTTCCATAGGGAACTAAAAAGAATTTAACTCACCTTGTGTAGATGGGCCAAGCAGTGACTTGGTCGCTCCTTCAGTCCTAAGTGTGTAGCAACTGCTTCCTGTGCTTGCTGTTTGAATAGCTCTGGAGACAATTGATGGCCGTTAGCTTCCAGCTTCTGTAACCAGTAGCCTCCCAACATCACCTATGAGGAAACAGAGCATTGACCATCCTGCCCTTGCCTATGTTAAGGCCCAGAGAAGCCCTTCAGAAACCCCACAAGAAGCAAAATTTCCTCCTCTCACAGTTACTCTGAGGCCTGGGGGGTTCCCGTCCTGCTCAGGAAAGGCAACTGAGTCATACACGATTCCCAGGACAGTTGGGTCTTCCGATGATGGCACCAAATGCCCAAAGCCCTGGAGAGGAAGGTGTCTGGATCATGAGGGAAGGGTTCTCACAGCCTGTGTCTCCCTGCCCCCCCACCTCCTCTTCCTCCTACCTGGACAGGTAGACACGCTCCTTGGTACTGCAGATTCACCACAGCAACAGACACAGAAGTGATGGTACCCAGGACATGCGCTAGCGGTGCAGCCTCAGCAGGGAGCAGCTTGCTGAGCACTGGGGATCAGACAGAGGCGTTCATACCAGGCTAGCTTTGTCTCAGGAATTCCTCAGGCGTGACCAGTTCAGGAACCTGCTGTGGCACCGCTGGTACAGGAAGGCACACTATTGCTTCCTCATGGTTAGGGAAAGGGAGGGACTGGCCCATTACCTGTAGCTGGAATGGCACTAATAATGTGGTCAGCCTCCAGACTGCTGTCCCCTAGAGACACCTGAGTGATAAGAACATTGGAGAGAAACAGTGATATGAGGACTTTATAGGTAAGTGAGATTTGCTACCTCACTCTTAGTTTCCCAGGTACCCAAGAGACAGGAAAGACTGGGTGCTGACCCAGGGTGAGGAACAATCATCTGAACAAAAAATCCTCTGTATAATCCAGAAAGTGAGCCAGGAAGAGGCCAGTGTGCCTGCTCTGAGATGTCTAGTGAAGGTGGGTATCCTTTCCTGTCCCCAGATACTCACTTCTATTTGCATACCTAAGGGCTTTTGGAGGAAGGTTCATGAATACCGCTTAGGGGCCTGAGTTAGCCAACATCTAAATAGCTTCTCTAAGACAAGAAAACAGTAAGTCCAGTGCTACCAGTCCTGACCTGGTTAAACCACTCAGACAAAGACAGTGACGCAGGGTGTGTGTGTGTGTGTGTGTGTGTGTGTGTGTGTGTGTGTGTGTGTGTGTGTGTGTGTGTACACGTGAGTGCTGGTGCCTTTAGAGTTCAGTAGAGGAGAGGTCATCTCCTGAGCTGGAGTTACAAGCAGTTGTGAGCCACCTGATGTGGGTTCTGGGAACTGAACCCAGGTCTTCTGCAAAGGCCGTATGTGCTCTTAGCTGCTGAGCTATCTCTTCAGCTCCCTGTCGATGATAACTTCATTGACATTAAAAGGTGGCAAATATGTCCAAGGAATACTGCGGGGCTTTGATGCCTTTATGAGTCTTGTGAGTGATGGGGTGTAGAACTAGTGGGCAACATGAGAATGACAGTCATACGAGTTAACAGTACCAAGTTTAAAGAAATGGATGTTCAGCAGAGAAGCCCACATCCCTCCCCGAGGGCCTGTTTTACTATGGTAAAAAAGCAGGGCATGCACATCTTCATATGAAACTTTTTGCTAAATGCATTATACTCAATGTAGCAACAACAAAACCACTGATAGTTCACTCTACTCCAGAGGGTTCTCCTACCTTCCAGCGTCCTTCTGGCTGGAGGCTGAGCCCACAGACTGGCTGACCTCTGAGGACAGTGACTCCTTTGCTAGTTAGGTGGTTGTGAAGGGCCTGGGGCAACATCTCCAGCCCTCCACGGAGTGACCACTGACTCCATTGCTCAGACCGGGCCTGACGAACTAATGAGGAATCCAGCTGTGGACTCTGTCCTACGAGGAGGCAAAAAATATATCATCAAAATGGTACCCCTTATACAAAGTACCTCACTTTGTCAGGCTTTACATTTCACCCTTTGAACCAATGCCTCCCCTCACCTGCCCCCAGCAGCAGCCCCAGTAATATGGACCGATGCGTTTGCTCAGCTTGGAAGAGACTGGGAAAGCAGGACCGGACACTGAGCTCACGGCTGTTGCCTGCAAACACTCCTCGGCAAAGACTGTCTATGGCTAAAGATGCCACCTTCAGGGTAACACTAGGTCTGAGGGGCCAAGGAATAAGCCACCCTGGCTGATTTCCATTGGCCCTGCTCGGGAGGGGATGAGGGGAGGAAAGAGTTTGTGCTGGGGGTGTTCCCACTGTAACAAAGGGTGGAAGGAAAGGAAGGCGTTTATTCCCAACACCGAGTTTTGGAGATTTCAGCAATAGAAAGAACATTCCTAGGTGCAGCAGCTGGTTTGGGAGGGGAGACCACCCCTGAGTAATGTCACCTCGTATCCAAGACGGCGCTGGGCAAAACTGTGCACGGTCTCATCAAGCTCTTTGCCCCTGGGCGTCATCAAATCCCTCAGCCCAGCCCAAAACAGAGGTTTCGAGAAGGGGGGTGAAGGGCGGAGTAGCCCCCTGCATGGAGGAAGGCATAGTGAAAACTCCCTGAGTCACCTTCCCAGCTCCTGGGGGTTATTCATTCATTTAACCTCTGTGGCTGGAAGGGCTGACAGGGAGCTAATAGAAGCGAACAGTTAGGTGAGGCGTTACCTGAGGCCAGAGGGTAGGGGGTGCAGGGCACCGCCTACATACAGGAACCTGTTCTGGGCAGCTGGATGATTCCCCCGGACAGGCAAGACTTCTGACTCCAAGCCAAGCTCAGAAACCTGTTCTCCACAAGCCCTCGGGAAGAGGACACACTAAGGAAAAACTGATCCAACAAATGTCTCCCCGCTCTGCAACTCTATCCTTTTGGGAAACTCCCCTCCACTTCCTGTCCTACACATTCCACACGATGCTCACCAAAAGCAGGGTCCTGGCTCCCAGCGCTCCAGCCGGCCTAATTCCTCGTGGTCCAAGTTCAAAGATCGCACCATCTGGTCCTCGGACTGAGCGGATCCAGCCTCCCAAACGCTTGCTGCCCTCCACTAAAATCACCTGGCTCCCAAAGTGAAACACTGTGGGTGCAGGGGAAAGGGACTGGGGACGGGGCGGGGGGGGGCGCTGCACATTCCATGGGACAGAATCTATCCAGTTTTTGCTGAAAATGTTAAGAGTATTAGATCAGTCTTTCTCTGGCTCTAGTGGGGACTCACCTTAGGGGGACGGGGGCCTCGGATCAGATGATAACTTGCAGCCAATCCACTGATCCCTCCGCCAAGCACGATCACAGTCCGGCCCATTGTAAGGCCTGGGGGAAGGTCGAGATACCCCGGCAGAACCGGAGGCACCCTGCTTTACAACTGCAGAAACCCTACTGAGCCAGTACCCCACTTCTGGGCACTTACTGCCTTGTGAGCACCTAAGGCAGGGCGCGCATGAACGTGCTGGTGGAAGAGAGATCTTCGTTCAGAGGCTTAGCCACGAGATAGGGGGAACCAGAGAAAATGAATGATATAGAGGCCCAGGGACAGTCTCTCCTGGCGGTGTGCAGATAAGGCCCACGCCCACGCTATCTCCCCAGCTCAAACCCGCCAGGGGCCAGAATTCTGCAGCACACGGTTTTCCCAGCCTCAGCCGGTGGGCAGGTTCTAGTCGGCTATTCCCGCCCCTAACTTTTCAGGTCCCTGCGACTCGCCGTCTACCCCATTCTGGCGGCCCGCAGCTGCGCTTCGCTTTGCTGCTTCAGGATTGGTGGCTCCTGGGAAGGCAGGTTCTGGATTGGTGAACTCTGGATACATCCACCAATGAGAACACCGACTTAGCAGTGACGTTGCCAGCAGCCGCTTACCGAGTCAGCTCGGCGGAACAGGTTAACTGGTTCATTGCCTAAGCGGAGTTAGTTGTCATAACCGGTACTGCCTTCCCCAGGGCCAAGACAGAGAAAAGCCGAATCCCGGAGTTAGCATTCCCCAGCTCAAGCTTCCTAGGCCCGTGTGAGAACCCTGGGGGCAGGGCCCCCTGAGCCTTGGTTGGAGAGAGACACTTGGAGGCCAGTCCGTGGGGAGGTGGCTCCACAAACAGCTCTTTGATGTTAGCAACAGCCAGGGCCTACGGGAGCTAGGGCCACCCAGCAACGAAACCAGTGTTTGTCAACAGGGGTTCTTGGGTGCCTTGCTCTCGAGGGGCAGTTCCCCTCTCCGCCACACCCGGCATGCCAATGCCTACTCTCTAGTCTTAGGCCTCTCGGCGGCTTCACAAGTCTCAAGGTTTGTCTTCATAGTACCACTAAACTCTGATAAGGCACAAGTGAGCGCGAGGCCTACGCAGTCCCTGGTCTTTTCCTTCTGCTCCGAGAGCGCCCCCGCCTGTTCAGGGACGGAATTGGGTCCCAGAAAGCTCCACTTGAACCAGTCTGGATAGCCATTCACTCTCACCCGCAAATACAAACGTGAACATCACTCTTTTCTTAATAAATTTATTCACAAAAAGTGAGATTGCAGAGGTTCCGGGGGCTGTACATGGTCACGGGCCTGGTGAGCTCTGTACATGGGACAGGAAACAAGGTGGAAGGGCGCTTCATAATAAAAAAAATAACGGGAGCTACAACCAACCCCCCTCCCCGATTAAAAAGACACAAAAATAGACGTCTCTGAGGTAAATGGGGAGCCTGGGGGCTTGAGGGTGTTGAGAAGGTTTTCACAGGTGCCAGGGCTTCCAGACGGTGTCACAGGCACCGAGGCGGCTCCTGCATCAGTTGGTAGAACAGCACGTAGCCCTCACTGGATGCCACCTGTTTTTCACTGACAGGGGAGACACTACGAAGAAGGGAAATGGGGAATGGTTGTAGTCATTTCTGTGTATTTCCCTCCTTCCTACAAGAGTCAACCTCGGAGAACCCAGGTTGAGTTTAGGAGAAAGACTCCACCTATCCTTTGTCAGGATCTCATCTTCTGGGGAGGGCGCCAGGGCTGCAGTGGGATGGGCAGGGGTTGACTAAGAGGCTGGGCTCACCGGGAGTCGTTGTAGACATGCCAACCAGTCTGGCACCGGCACAGGGCTGTGTAGTGCCCATAGTGAACACTACCCGAGTGGTTGCAAAGGGCATACAGCTGGTAGACAGGGCTTCCTGTGGGTTAGACAACATCAGTTGCTACATTCAAGAGTTATGTCCCCCTCCTAAAGGTAACTTGGGGCATTCCCCACCAGACTCACCCACTTTGTCACTGGCAAAGTCTCCTAGGCTCAGTCGCTGCAATGGGAAGTCAACACCCACTGAACTTTTCTTGATAGAGCCTCGGGAGGTGGAAAATCGATTCAGATCTAAGCCCTGGTTAAGGAGCATTTGGGAGGCTGAGGGTAAGAAATTCAGTACCCTCCATTCCCCCAACATGTCCTGGAGGATGGCAAAGAGAGTTGGGGAGGCAGGTTTTTCCCAAGGAAAACTCAGTGAAGGAGAGGAAACAGAATGTATGGGAGATATCCTAAAAGAAATAAGAACTGGAAGATTAGGATATGGAGCACGAGGATCCGGGGGAACCTTTGTACTGTCAGCTTTTTGGTACTTCGTGTTTTCTGCCGGCATCGGTCACACACCTAAATAAACAGCAAACAGTCTTAGGTCAATGTGCTCTTGGCTCAGCTGGTTTTTTTTTTTTTTTTTTTTTTTTTGGTTTTTCGAGACAGGGTTTCTCTGTGGCTTTGGAGGCTGTCCTGGAACTAGCTCTTGTAGACCAGGCTGGCCTCGAGCTCACAGAGATCCGCCTGCCTCTGCCTCCCAAGTGCTGGGATTAAAGGCGTGTGCCACCAACGCCCGGCGGCTCAGCTGGTTTTTCTGACACCCCAATACACACATAAATTTAGTATGTTTCTCATTGCTTCCCCCGTGCCCCCCCCCACCCCCTTTAGCCCAGGTATACTACAACATACCTGAGACACTAACACACACCCAGACATGTGTAACTGCTATTTCCATGCTAAGGAACATGCATCTCCTTTTATTCAGACAGACCCCCCAGGTCTCCCACCATTGTAAACCCCCACGTACTGGGGCATTTTCTGACTCCAGCTCTTCTTCCTTGGTGAAAAGGCTGAAACAATCCCGCAGAGACACTTTGCCCCCAGCAAATCCTTTCTGGGGGGGAAGGGGAAGTAAGGGTTAGCATCTTCTGAATTTCCTTTTTTTATCTTTTATCTTTTCATAATCCAGGCTTCAATTATGCTTCAGAGACCCCGCATAGTTCCCACCCACATGTAGGGGTGGGTCACAGAACCCATGTTCCATTCACCCCTGGAATCTTCTGGAATCCCACCTTGGGGATGGGCAGGGACAGGTCACAAAAAACCTCGAAGGTCGTGGAGCGATACCCACAGGCCTGGCACTTGAGGCAGCTTTTCAACTGGCCCACAAATAGGTCTAGGTAAAACAAAAGGGCAGGGGAAAAGGTCACTGTTGGGTGCCTAAGGTGCTTTCTCAGAACCCCGTCTCGTCCCACTCTTGGCTGCCACCCAACTCTACACACCATCCTACACCTTCCTCACCCAGCCTTACTCCCGTTCTTCCTTCTCCCAAGCCCGAACCCCACTGCTTTGCCCGGCTCCATACCCACAATCTTGCTGTCTTCGCGCTCCAAGTAGTGCTTCCACATTAGGTTGGCTCGATCATCATCACTACCACAGATCAAGGGAAGGGAGGGGGTGCCCGTGAGACAGCTGTAATACCGGGTACCCCCAAACCACTGAGACTATCCACAGAGCCCTGATCCCTACCCACATACCAGCTCCTTCCCAAGATTTCTAGTCAAAGGAGTAATTTTTTTTCAAGAACTTTCTGGGGAAATCCAAGACGAGAGGAAAAAGAATACATATGAGGGAATAATGTCGTCCTTCTACAAGCCCCGTTGGTATGTTTTATTGCAAAAGGCTCCTCCTTTCCAGTTTAGTGACATTCCTAACACTTTTATCCTGCTATCTTCACCCTTCAGAGCCACCCCCTTCCTCCATCCTTTCTCGTACTTTCAAACCATTTTCCCCATGCTAAAGGGTCTCCCCTCTACCCCTACATTTTCAGTTTGTTAGCTCAGTTCTTTGAAGACTGAATGCTACTGACAGAACCACAGGAAAGAGGAGCAAGGGGGAGCAACCCTTACCTTAACTCAGGTTCTTCATGCAGAGCCCCTCCTCGGCGAGGTGGAGAGGGAACGGGACCACTGGCCAGGATGGGCGGTGCCCGGCGGCCTCGTCGGTTGATTTCAAGGTGCAACCTCTCCATGAGGAGCTTCAGAAACTCTTGGGCATCCTGCTGGCTACAGGCAGACAGAATATGGATAACTGATCCCCTCTTAGTCCACGAACAGTGCTCCCTGCCCAAATATGGGTCCCTACTTCCTCAGTGTAGGAAATGTCAAGGCTCAGAATCATGGTGCTGTAGCCGCTGCTTGGTCCCAGCCCCCGATTTGGTCAGAAAGACATTCTTTCCTCTCAGTTTCCCCACCTGTATCCAGAGAAGGAGGGAACGTATTTCTGGAAGACAGCCCGGAACCGAGTAGGATTCACAGCTTCACAGGAGTCAGGGTGCCAGAGAGCACCAATCACATCTGCAAAGGCTGTTGGTGTGACATCGGGGGAGGGGATACAAGGATTAATGTCTACAGGAGCAGGCAAAGCAGATTCCAGGGAAAGCCTCCAGGAATGGGGAAATGCATGTAGCTGTCAGACTGGAGGGCTGGGAATCACAGGTATTGGGGGACAGAATTGAAGGGCTTGGGGGACGGAAACAGAAGAAGCAGGAGTTGTTGCTCACCTTCCGTGAGCTCCTGGGCTCGGCCTCCTCCAGGCACCTCTTGCCGGAAGTCCCTTCGAAGACAAAAGTCTCGGAGAGGCCTAGTGCTGCTCAAACACTGTAGCACAGCGTTCAGGAAACACTGGGGAAGCGGTAGGGACACTGCTATTACCTTTCCCGTCTGGTGCCCGATAAGCCTCGAGAGGGCATCAGGGCTCTTCCCCAATCCACAGGTTATCTCCACCCCCAACACCATTTCACGTTCCTTCTACAGAGAAAGGACAGGAAGATGGCTCTTACTGTGTTTCCCAGATTTCGGAGGCCAACATGACCAGAGCCCAGGAGCAGCGTGTGACGAGCCTGGAAGGTCAGAGGACAGTCACATTCGACTGGCACTTTCAGTAACATGTTGCTGAACGTCTCCCCAACCCTGCTCACGCCCCAACTCGACCCTCCGTCCCTCCCTGGCCTTCCTACCTCATTGGTCATGAGTAGTAGACCCATCACAGCTGAGTGTACCACAGACTCAGCCATGGCTGTCACACCTACTCCCCATTTACTCCGCTGGCCAGCTAGCCGGCGCTGCAGCTCCTGAGGCAACTCCTCAAGCACTGGCATGGTTGCCCAGCTGCTCCCCACCCCCACTTTACTGCCCCCAAATCCCCCTCCTGCCCCCGTGGCCCCTTCTTGCACCCTCTCCTGCTGGCTCCAACGGCAAGCAGCTTAGCTCACTTAGCTGGGGAAATGGGTAACTACATCAGCAGGTGCTCTAGCTCCGCCCCTCCTCAGCCCAGGGATTAATTAGGTCTAGGCCCGGTCCTAGGAGAGAAGTTGCCTTGAAAGGGCGGGCCTAAGGACCCAAAGAAGAATTCTAAATAGTTAATTCCCTAGGGACCAGAATGGCACACCAAGTTGGAGAATCACATACGACCCAAAATAATGACTAGAAGGCCTTGGAGAGGAGAAGAGTCCGCTGGTGTAATGAGGGGTTGACAAAGGGACTTGGAGCAGGGAACAAGAAAGCCACATGGCGACAAGAGTTGAAGGCAAGAGGAACACGAGCATGGGAGACCAACGCGTCTGGCAAGTCCTCACCATCTTGTCATCGGAGTAGAACGGCTCAGAGGGCCGGGCAGATACCATGTGGTAGGAGCCATGGGAAGTAGGGGGCTCTGTCCGTATGCTGAGCAGGGTGGGGGGACCAGGGAAGCCCCCAAGACGCCGGAGAGAAGTGCTGCGTCTCAAAGTGGGCGGCTCAGGTCGGAGTGCCAGGCGGCTCAGTGCGGCCCCTAGCTCGCCAGTGCCACGATGCCCTCCCAATGCAATTCCCATTGGACGCAAGTCCCCACTGCTCACAGACTTGGAACGCGCTAAGTTGGTCCGGGATGGGAGAGGCAGAGCCACAGCTGGGGGTGGTGAGCCAGGCAAGGGGACCCCATGATCTGCTCGAAGGGGGCCTCTAGGACGAGAGCCTGAGGTCCGACCCCGACCCAGCTCCAGTTTCTTGAGCCTTTCGTCTGGGGGCCCTGGCCTGGGAGGCAAAGGTCGTAACACAGAGTTTGGGCCAGGAACTGGGTTTCGGCGCTCCTTGCTGCGGGCCCGGGGAGGAAATGGTATCTTGGCTCCCACTCGGGGCTGTACATTGACAGGTGGCTCTCGAGTCCGGCCCAAGCGGTGCTCAGAAGCCTGGGGCATTGTGGACACCGCAGGCTGGACCTGGGAACAGAGGGTCAGCATTTGAATTAGTAAGGGAGATAAGACATAGGCTACCATGCAAGCTGGCTTTTACATGTACTGAAGGCATGGATAACGTCTATATAATCAGTTCTGGCATCCCCAGAACTTAGCAATGTTTGACACAAAGAAATACTTAGTATCCCTTTAATAAACAAATGACTGAATATAGCCCATCATTTTGACCTTTCATGCCCCACCCCCTCTCTATAGACTATAGATTTACTGAAAAGCACTGGCAGTTCCAAGCTCAGCTGCTTTTACAATTTACAAACTCCTAAAAATCCTCATATCTGGCTAGTCAAGTGTGATATGCCCCAGACCAGGGACCCTGGATGCAGGAATCAGCATTCCAACCTCAACCCCTGCCCCTCTGGGTGCAAATGAAGCGGATTAAATGGGTGGTTTGCAATCCACTCCCTCCTCCAGTTCTGGGCTCCCATTTGATATTTGGGCTCAGAGAGCAATGGTTTGGGGTGGAGGACGAACTACTTGACCCCTAATTTCGGCACCTCTCCCACCACAGCAGGGTTTTACCCGGGTCCGCCCCCCCTCGAGGGCAGAAAGGCCGAAGCCGCTGATTGGCTACAGTGTCCGGCGGCATATTCCCCGCGGTCCGAGAATGCTGTTCTTCCAGCCTAGTTCTCCCAGGTCCCGCTGGGCACCGCGAGCCTCTCCCTTTGTGGTGACCGTCCTCTGGGGTCTGGATCCGTTCTCCCTCAGCTCCCCCACCCCACCCCACCCCGCCATAACGTCCCGGCCCATACCTGTCCCCCGGTGAGGCGGCGGGGGAGGCCAGCCGGGGTCCAGCTCCAGCTCAGGGCCACCCCCTCCTAACCCCGAACAGCCTCCCCGCAGGCCGGGCTGCAGCTTTAGCGGCAGCTGTAGCCCAGCTTGCTCCCGCCGCAAGGGCCACCGCCATCTTTGATGGTGCGGCCCGGCCACCGGCCACCGGCTTCACAGTCTCTTAAGGCGCCTGCGCGCCCACACTCGGAACCCTCCCACCCACCTCCTCGGCGCTTGCGTGAGCCCGCCCCCACGGCTCCCCGACCAACACCATGGAAACGCAGCCAACTTTAGAACCACTAGTTCCCGGCCTTGCCGGATGGTGGTCTTTAAACCATTGCTGCAAGTCCCTGAGGTCAAGGTCCCTCATCCCGTCACGTGGCTCATAGGGATGAAGAGCCAAAAAAAAAAAAATGGAATAACGGAAGAACTTGCAACAGAGAGTCTTTCCAAACAAGCAGGATGCAGCGTGGAAAGCTGCACGCAGGTCCGGGTACAGCCTGAGAACCAACAGAGAAGCATTTAGCATTCCACATAGGGATGGGAGATTCCCAGTGGGAATAGAACTCTGGACCTGTAAAACCCATTCTTCAAGCTCCTTTGCAGGCTCAGGCAGTAAGGAAAGTATGGCTCACTGCTAAAGGATAAAAGCAAATAGCAACAACAGGGAAGAGAAATAGATTTTCTCTTATTTGTTAGCCCTTGAAAGGACATTCATTTCCCCCTCCCAGCCTAGTGTAATTGTGCATGTACCTCCATATTTTACTTGCACACCTTGGTAACAGCCATCAAAGAGAACCACAGGCTACATACATAGGAAGCAGCTTTTATTGATAGGTTGTTTCCAGAAACCAAAAAAGCTATGTGCTGTCAGTTAACGTCGTATGCCTCCAGATGCCTCCGGGGTTCCACTTGGAGAAGGGATACAGATTGCCTATTTCAAGGCCCAAGTTTTTCACCTCCCTGTACAGTTTAACTTAGAAACTTTGTGACCTTACCCTATTGTTGGGTTTTTTATTTCCCCGCCCAACCTCCAGCTATAGCTACTTTGTAACAACCAGAGGTGATCCGGGAAAGATTCTTGAGTAAGGAGAACGATTCACAAGAAAACAGGAATACAGCCGGGCGTTGGTGGCGCACGCCTTTAATCCCAGCACTCGGAAGGCAGAGGCAGGCAGATCTCTGTGAGTTCCGAGGCCAGCCTGGTCTACAAAGCAAGTTCCAGGAGAGCCTCCAAAACAATACAGAGAAACCCTGTCTCGAAAAACCAAAAGAAAGAAAGAAAACAGGAACACAGCCTATCAAAAGGCCCTGTCCTGCCTCAGCGGCTTGATCCTTCACTGGTTGCATTTTTCTTTGTGCTGGATCACACCCTTCTGAATCAGATCAGGGATTTCCACTGCCAGCCAAGGACCCAGCTGCAATACAAAGGAGACCCTGTGAGGTTACTACCATGGTCAACACCTCTTGTTCCACCTGAACCTCCTCAGAGGCTCCAGGAGAACATGCCCAAGGGACAACACTCCTACTCCCTTAGTCTCAGCCACGTTTCTGGTACTGCTTAGGTCGTGAACCCTCCCTCTTCCTCTCATACACCAAGAATAACAAACTTACCCCTAGGGCCATGAGATGAGCTAGTCCAAACTTGGGCACATTCCTGGCCCACAAAGGTTTGAAATGATCAGTCAGACATATTTTGCCACCCCTATGAGAAGGACAAGAGGAAGGCGTTGACACACAAAACTAGCCATGATGTATAGCAGCTTCTTGGGAACACAGGAAGAGTAGTGCTCAGAACCGAGAACAAGGTCAGTTGAGCACTTCGAATAAGCTCTACCCAGGGAAAGCTGATTCCCTTGAGACTCTGGACAGCACCCTCTGGAGAACCCTTCTGATTCTCAGCTCCTCCCTAAGGTTCTCTTTGCCCTTTCCCCTCTCCTAGTCAGTCCTACCTGTACATCTTTGCTGTCTTTCCATCCAGCTCAGGGACTGCAATTTCTGGAGCAGTAGTAGGATATGTGATAGGAATCTGGAGAAATTACAAAGCCTTAATAAAACAGAGACCTGAGAGAAATGAACTAGTCTAATTAAACATATATATATTTCCTGGTTGAATTGCTTGTGCAGCAGATTCCCCAAGTGGCATGTTCAGCTAGGGTTCTAGACACAGAGATTAGCAACCGTTATACATTGGCCTCAAACCTCAGCTTTCCCCACCCACTTTAAAAGTTCTGTTTAGTCCTTTCAAGGAAGTTTAGCATGTTAACAATGATCTAATCAATTCCTTTCCACTAACCTTCATACTTCCCATTCTATCACACTCACTTCAAACTCGATGTCAAACTCATATTTGAGGAGGTCATGGATGTACCAGCATTTCCCAAACCACCTGTAACAAAGACCAAACCGCAATCCAGTCAGACCATCCCTATCATACTCAAATGACATCTTTGGGGACTCTAAACTGATGCATGGTAGCTTTAGGTTGGTTATGGGATACCAAATTGCTTAAGTCAGGTGAGGATCCTACTCACACCTCTCAAGACGGCCTGCTTACCTGGTGCCCTCCTTGTTGGACTCCAGTCGGAACCAATCATTGTCTGAATTCTTGTTGTTCTCCACATACTGAAAGAAGAAAATGAAATCTCAGAAAAGGGAGCTGGAGCCACACCTATGATGCCAGCACCTGGGAGGCACAGGTAGGAGAAACTCAGAGTTCAAGACCAGTCTGGACTACAGAGCCAGTTTCCAGGACAGTCAGGGCTAAACAGAGAAACCCTATCCAAAAAGAAGAAAGAAGAAAGAAGAAAGAAGAAAGAAGGAAGAAGAAAGAAGAAGAAGAAGAAGAAGAAGAAGAAGAAGAAGAAGAAGAAGAAGAAGAGGGTGGCGCACGCCTTTAATCCCAGCACTCGGGAGGCAGAGGCAGGCGGATCTCTGTGAGTTCGAGGCCAGCCTGGTCTACAAAGTGAGTTCCAGGACAGCCTCCAAAGCTACAGAGAAACCCTGTCTCGAAAAACCAAAAAATAAATAAATAAATAAATAAGAAAGGAAAAGGGAAGCAGGGCATTGGTAGCACATGCCTTTAATCCCAGAACTTGGGAGGCAGAGGTAGGCGGATGTCTGTGAGTTCAAGGCCAGCCTGGTCTATAGAGCGAGTTCCAGGACAATCTCCAAAATAATACAGAGAAACCCTGTCTTGAAAAAGAAAAGAAAAGAAAAGAAAAGCGAGCTGCAGCCGAGAGTAGCCCCTCTTCAAAACTGTGATTGTTTTTAGCCTGTTTTTCACAACTTTTCACACATAAGCAAAATGAAAGAAAAGGCAACACAAGCAAGCTGGGTGCTTGCCCGGAACGGAGAATAAAATACCCAGGTTCCCTACAGTATAGCGAGCACAAACTATTGGACACTCAAGGGTTATTTTCTCACTCCTGCTGTCTGTCCTTAGCCTGAAACTCACTTTACCATACACATTAGGACCTTGTGCTAGCTTTCATTAGCAGCTACAAGTTAGGAACTCTCAAATCTTTATCTTCAGTTCAAGTCTTTTGTCAGAATTTCAAATTCTAGTATCCAACTGCATGTTTTAACTTATACGTAGCACTGGCTGCCTTGGAACTCGCTCTGTACACCAAGCTGGCCTTGAATTCACAGAGATCCACCTGCCTCTGCCTCCCCAGTGCTGGGACTAAAGGTGTGCGCCACCAGCATCCGGGTTCAGTCTACACCTTTATCTAACAGAAAACAGAGACTTACAACTTCCATTTGGGTTTATACCATATCTCTCCCCTCTTCCTCTTCAGGGACTCCTGTCTAGGTTGGCCACAACCGACCTTATAGAACTAAGAATGACCTTGACCTTTTGATCTCCCTGCCTCTCCTGAGTGCTGAAATACCAGGTGTGAACCATCAGCACATTCTCAATTGCAGATGGCAATCTCACTCAACCACTAAGCCAAAGACCAGCCTTCATCCTTGACCTCCCCTCTCCTTTTCCCCACTAATATTTCATGTCCTGCTGACCTTAGTTTCTGCTGTTTGTCTGTTACAAGGTGTCTCTGTAGCCAGGGCTGGTACAAAACTCATTGAAACCCTCCTGCCTTTGCCTCCCCTGTACTAGGTTTATAGGTATGTACCATGACACCCAGCCTTAGCTCTGGCCCAATTTTTACTTTATTTTTTCTTTCTTGATAGGGTCTCACTAAATTGCTCAGGCTGGCCTTGAACTCCCAGGAAGGCTTTGAAATGTCCAGGCTGGTCTCAAGCCAGCAGTCTCTCTGCCTAAGCATCCCAACTGCTGCAATTACAGGCTCCCAGCTCATACCATGCTGTTTCTAGCTTATATTCCTTTGCTCTTGCTGTCCTTGGTTTATTTATTTATTTTGGTTTTTCGAGACAGGGTTTCTCTGTGGCTTTGGAGGCTGTCCTGGCACTAGCTCTTGTAGACCAGGCTGGCCTTGAACTCACAGAGATCCGCCTGCCTCTGCCTCCCAAGTGCTGGGATTAAAGGCGTGCACCACCAACGCCTGGCCTTGGTTTATTTATTTTTTTTAAAGATTTTTTATTTTATTTATTACACATACAGTGTTCTGCCAGAAGAGGGCACCAGATTGAATTGTAGATTGTTGTGAGCTACCATGTAGTTGCTGGGAATTGAACTCAGGACCTCTGGAAGACCAGCCAGTGCTCTTAACCTCTGAGCCATCTCTCCAGCCCCCATTGGTTTATTTTTTTATGAAAAAAAACTTTAAAGAATATTTATGTGTGTGAGTGGCTTTTTTCTGCCTGTATGTACACATGTACACTTGGTACCCAAGGAGACTAAAAGAGCACAGCTGATCCCCTGAAACTGGAATTATGAATGACTGTGAGCCACCATATTAAGTGCTGGGAACCTCTAGGTCCTCTGCAAGGGCAGTAAGTGAGCATTTCTCCAGCTCCTGTCCTTATGTCTTGAACATCTTTTTTTCCTACCCTTACGTTTCATATGCTACTATAGTGTGTGTGTACCCGTGCCAACGTGTGTGTGTGTGTGTGTGTGTGTGTGTGTATGTGTGTCGACCAGAGGACAACCGAAGCAGTCAGTTCTCCTCTTCTGCTATATGGGCTCCAGGGGTCAAATGGAGGCTGTCAGTTAGTAGCAGGTGCTTTACAAACTCGCCATCTCTCTCTGGCCCGTGTGTTTATACTTTTAGGTTTCAACTCAAGGTTTACCACTTCTAAGAAGCCTTACCCTAGCAAACTAAAGCTGAATCACACATCTCTCTCCATACTCTGAAAATTCTCTCCACACTGTTTCCATCAACCTCAGTAGGTCCCTTCTTATTCGGTTTTGTACACCTGTCCTAGGTAGTAGGAACACTATCATGCTTTTTTTGTTGTGTTTGAGGCAGGGTCTCAAGTAGTTCAGGCTGCCTTGGAATTCATTATGTAGTCCAGAATGACCTGCACTTCCAATCCTCCTGCCTCCACGTCCTGAGTGCTGACAATGCATGAGCCGCATCGTTTATGAGGTGCTAGGGGTAGAACCCAAGCTAAGCAAGCACTCAGCCAAGTTCTCAGTGGGGCAATATATAAGACAGGAGATCTGCTAGTCTTTGAAGCTGAGGCAAACCACCATAAGGAGTGTAATCTTTCTCTTCCCACAACAGCAAGATTAGCTGAAAGAATGGCTAATTTATAACTAAAAGCACCAATCTCTAACTCTCTACATCTAACACCTGAAGCTTTCAGCTCTGACATTCATTCCTTTCATTCATTCCGTTCATTTCATCACCAAGAATGAGAGATGAGAGCGATGGGCTGAGATTTCAGGCTCTGAGGAGTGCTTTTGACCCCCAGCACCACTCCTACGTACAGTAGAGCAAACACCTGGCGGGGAAGAGACACGTCACCTTCCTGGAGCACTGCTGGTTTTTCCTTTAAGGTCTAGCCCTCCTGTGCTCCTAACCAGAATCTCTTCTGCAACCTCCCTCCGTAATCTCCCAGCCCCCAAATAGTCACAATTTATATGAATTTATAAACTTAAAAACCGGAAGCGGCTTCCACACGGAGCCAATTCCTGAGGACACCTGATTACCCGCCACCCCTTTGCTACGCGGTCAACCACAGAAGCAAAACTGACCCGGATAAGGGACTGATATTCCTCCTTTAGTCGCTGCACCCACAATTCCCGATCCCGGGGTCCGGCGTTAGTCTTCAGCACTGGGATCTCAGACACGACCCGCCGGGTGGCCTCATCCGCCATCTTGGACCAGGGCAGAAGAAAAATGCGGAAGTGGAGTTGCTCGTAACTTACTCAGGGCTTCGCCATCTTTACTATGGGAGGATGAGGCGTTGTCTAGCCTTAAAGCCGTCTCTGAAAACACTCTTTTTTTGGTAAGAAAATAAAATTGGCCCACTGGTGTGAGCGTCCGGAAGAACAGAATGAAGCTGGGTTACACTATCAGGAATATGGCACCTATCATTAAATCACCGGAGACTGCTCAGAGTGACTTCCGCTCATGCTCAGAAGCAAACTTGGGAAACCGCACGACCTTCCCAAATCGGAAAATTGTTAGAATTTCAGATTTTTCTGGACACTCTTCAAAGAACTGTGTTTGTGCTTCAGGATGATTTCCTTGTTTTTAAAGAGGAAAGGTCTCGTGTATCCCAGGCTGGCCACAAATTCAAACGGGATAGCCTGAGCTACGCTTGCTTATGCTAAAAAAATTAATGTGTGTAGGTTTTAAAACCAACTGTAAAACAGTTTGCAAAGAGTTACTGAATATCTTTTGTGTGCTATGCACAAAGCATACAGACATAATTCGATCCTGGATGAATCTCTCAAATGGCTAGAGGATAGTCACTGAATGTTTATTATCATTCTGGTAACATTTTATTTTGTTGTTTCGAGACAGGTTTTTACTGTTTGGCTCCAGCTGTCCTGGAACTGGCTTTGTAGAGCAGTCTGGCCTCAAACTCACAGAGATCCATGCCTGTCTCTGCCTCTGGGGTTCTGGGATTAAAGGTGTGCTCCACCACTGCCCAGCATTTTGGAGTTTGTTTGTTGGGACAAGTTCTCACTATGTAGACCAGGCTGGCCTCCAAGTCACAGAGCTACCTGTCTTATCAGGTAATTTCTAAAGCTCATTCGACACTAAGAAATCTCAGTAGGGTATAGTGGCCCACACTTGTTATCCTAGCACAGGTGTGTGTGTGTGTGTGTGTGTGTGTGTGTGTGTGTGTGTGTGTGTGTGTGTTATAGGGGGGAGGATGCAGGACAGGAAGATTGCTGCAACTCAATCCAAAACAAACAAACAAAAACAAACCCCTTATGTGGTAGGTGCACATGTTTGATCCCAGCATTTGGGAGGCAGAGGTCATGCTGATCTTGGTGGGTTTGAGTCTCTAGAAGCAGTTAGATCCTGTCTCAAAGAAAACAAGTTGAACAAATGTGAAAATGGCTCAAGTGGGTAAAGGTGCTTGTAGCACAAGGCTAGCAAGTTGGTTCCATCCATGAAACCCACATAAAGATGGAAGGAGAGAACAGACTCCACAAGTTGTCATCTGACCTACATATATGTGCTGTGGCATGTGTGCCCCTCCAACTAAAATTTAATTTTTTTCTCTAGAGAGAATGTTTTTCTGTGTAACAGAGCTGGCCATCCTGGTATACCAGTCTGGCCTTGAACTAACAAGAGATCTGCCTTCCTCTGCCTGCCAAGTGCTGGGATTAAAGAAGTGCACCATTATGCCTGGCCTATTTGTATTTTATGTTAGTGTTTTGCTTGCGTGTACCATGTACATTCAGTGCCAGTGGAGGCCAGAAAAGGACAACAGATGCCCTGGAAATGACATTACAGTAACAGCCATTTCTTCCATGTGGGTGCTGAGAACTAAAAACTTGTCCTCTACAAGAGCATGGAGTGTTCTAACTGTTGACCATCTCTTCAGTCCTCTAAATTAAGTAAACACACAGATGTAATTTTCTTGTTTTTTGTTTTTGGGTTTTTTGTTTGTTTGTTTTTGTTTTTTTTGAGACAGGGTTTCTCTATTGTTTTAGAGACTGTCCTGGAACTATCTCTGTAGACCAGGCTGGCCTCGAACTCACAGAGATCCTCCTGCCTCTGCCTCCCAAGTGCTGGGATTAAAGGCATGTGCCACCAACACCGGGCACACAGATGTATTTTTAAGGGCTGTGGATGTAGTCTTGCTTGTCTAGCCTTCACAAAGCCTGAGTTGGATCCCCATTACCATATAAACCAGACCTGATGGTGTCATCCCAGCCTAAGCTACAAAAAAGGATGTTGGATTTTTCCTTTCCAGATGCTTTCCGTGTGTAGCTTGGAAGAGTATTTGTTTTATTGAGAAAAGGTCTGTGTAGCCCTGACTATCCTAGAATTCTCTGTGTAGATCAGGCTGGGGAGGAAGAGACTGGGCAGAAGGGCCAGACTAGAAGGATGCTGGGAAGAAGGTGGTGTCTGGACTAGCAACTGGACACAGAGAGAAGCAAGATGGGCATGCCATACTGAGAAAAGGAACCAATCCGTGTGGCCAAGCGTAGATAAGAAATACTGGTTAATTTAAATGTAAGAGTTAGCTAGTAACAAGCCTGAGCTATCCACTGAGCATTTGTAATATTTAGTCTCTGGGTGGGTTATTTGGGAACTGGCGGGTGGGAAAGAAACATCTGCCTACAACCTCTCATTCTCACTGCTGCTGTATTTCCTGAGACTGCTCTTATGTAGCTTGAGTTTCTTACTCCCTTGCTTCCACCTCCCAAGTACTGAGATTACAGGCACACCACAAAACCTGGAGGGCTTTTATCTTAGGAGCACTAAGATATTAATCTCTTTACAAAGGTATTAGATATAACTAAGACACAGCTTTGTAGAGATCTCTTAAGGTAAATAAAGGACTATTTCATTTTTCATATAGGCACAGGGGTTGTGGTCAGAGAACAGAGATTTTTTATACATATTTTTAAAAAGATTTATTTATTTATTTATTTATTTATTTATTATGTATACAGTGTTTTGCCTGCATATATGCTTGTATACCAGAAGAGGGCAATAGATTTCATTGCAGATGGTTGCTGGGAATTGAACTCAGAACCTCTGGAGGAGCAGCCTCTTACCCTCTGAGGCATCCCTCCAGCCCTGAGAACAGAGATTTGAGATGAAGCTTTTAAATTGTCCTTAGTTGTTTTAATTCTGTAATATGCATCTCTAAAGAAATAACAACTTACTGGTCGGTTGTGGCCTATGCCTTTAGTCTCAGCACTTGGGAGTAGAGGCAGGCAGATCTCTGTGAGTTTGAGACCAGCCTGGTCTACAAGAGCTAGTTCCAGGACAGCTTCCAAAACCACAGAGAAACCCTGTCTCGAAATTTCCCCCAAAAAGAAAGAAATAACTTTTCCTAACATTCCTGGTTAGATCCATACATGTACTGCTACCGTTTTTTTTTTTTTAAGATTTATTTATTATCTGTGTTCTGTCTGCCTGTATGCTTTGTACACCAGAAGAGGGCACCAAATCTGATTACAGATGGTTGTGAGCCACTATATGGTGGCTGGGGATTGAACCCAGGACCTCTGGAAGAACAGTCAGTGCTCTTAAGCCCTGAGCCATCTCTACAGCCCCTACCTTCTAAAAACCTCTTTTAGGAAATATATTTCTTTAAGGACTTTTATGTGTACGAGTGTTTTACTTGTATGTATGTATGTGCACTACATCCATGCCTGATGCCCACAGAGGCCAAAAAAGGACATTAGATTCCATGGAACTCAAGTTATAGTTGTGAGCCATCATGTGGCTGCTGGGAAGCAAACTCCCATCCCTTGCAAGACCGACAACTGCTGAGCCATTGTTGTAGAATAATATTTTTGTACACTGTGAAGATGTAGGCACCTTCTGATTGCTTTAATAAAGAGCTGAGTGGCCAAGGCAGGAAGAAGTTAGACAGAACTTCTAGACAGAGAGAGAGTGGAGGAGTGGTTTCTAGGCATAGGGAAGGTACCTGATGACATGGAGAGGAAACAGGAGTTGCAAGATGGAAGAGAGTTAAAAAGCCATGAGACAAAGTATAGATTAATATAAATGGGTTCACTTAAGCTATAAGAACTAGTGGGACAAGCCTAAATCTACAGGCCAAGTTTTCACAATTAATAAGTCTCTGTGTTATTATTTGGGAGCTGCCAATATAGAGGAAGACTTGCCATAAACCATCTCTTCAAACCTTCTGCCTCTCTTTTTGTGAGAGTGAATCTAACTTGTTTTGAATATAGTATGATTATTCTCAGCACCACACAGTGGCTCACCACCTTTCACCTTCCATAATTTCAATTCCAGAGGATCTGACATGACGTCCTTGTGGAAGACTGGTGTTTGTGGGGCTGCAGTCAGGACCAGCAGATCAGCAACTCCCCTCTTGAATGGGGGTATGTGGATGTGTGGATGAGGTAAAGGCTAGCTAAGAAAGTTAAGAGCCAGAAACACAGCCGGGAGTTGGTGGCGCATACCTTTAATCCCAGCACTCTCCAGGCAGAGGCAGGTGGATCTCTGTGAGTTTGAAGCCAACCTGGTCTACAGAGAGTTCCAGGACAGTTTCCAAAGCAATACAGAGAAACCCTGTCTTGGAAAAAAAAAAGATACCCTCCTGACAGGAGGGTATTTCAGTTCATACTGAATGCACCTCAGTTTGTTCATACTCCATCTTTTTTGGGGGGCATTCTCTTTGCCCCCAAAATCCTGCCTAGTTATTGGTCAATCAACTTTTAATGAACAATAAGAGGGACATACTTTCACAGTGTATAGAAAAATTATTCCACAATAGGACTGACTCCACAAAGTTTCACATTGTGCATGCACATGCATATGCATCACACACAAAACTGTTGATAATAAAATCACTGATCCATATGAGATTAAACTTTCAATTAGCGTGCCCCACGTCTGAAAAACAAAATTCCTAAAGCCACACTCAGAGAAGTCAGGCAGGATTCTGTTCACAGCAAAAGCCTATCCCTGGAGACAACTAATAAGCATGGGGAAATGGCTCGTCTATGTAAGAGGATCTGACCTGGAGCTAGAATTCAGTCAGTCTATAGACAAATAATCTAGACCATTAATCAGTACAAAAGGTACAAAGAGCCGTTTTAGCAGGACAAAGTTATTCATTGCTTTGGAGTGCAAACTAGGGTAAAGCAGGAAGTGGACTTTCAATTTTAGTTTTTTCAGATAGTCTCTTATATATGAATTTAGATTATTCCTCTTGGGTTGTTTTGTTTTTGCTTTTTTGAGACAGGGTTTCACTGTGTAGCCCTGGCTGTCCTGGAACTCACTCTGTAGACCAGGTTGGCCAGGAACTCAGAGAGATCTGGGTCTGCCTAGCCTCCTAAGTGATGAGATTAAAGAAATGCAGCACCACCACACAGCTAGTTTATTCTTTTTTAAGTAATTCCTATAGAATACTTATTAGAAGCTAACTTCTCTCTAGGTGTT